ATCGCTAATGAGTTGGGCAGGTGTACTATCAGCAACCTATTGCAGTGTTGCCAGGCTGCTTCACCAATGGTGTGTATCTCTGCTTCAACTTGTACGTGTCTCACGTCGATCATGTGTGTAAAGGCATGGGAAAGCACCTACCCTGAGCGAGTGGGCGGTACTTGGATTGCTTTTGCATTCCTCTTCAGCTGCCCTTTATGTTCTGCCCGACAGCAGAATTGGCGGACGACTAGATGAAACTGGTTGCGGTCCCTGAGGGTGTCCCAGACAGGGTTTCGCAGGAGTTGACCTGTGTCTCGTTGGACGAAAGTAAGCTCGCACCCAAAGGTGCTGCTTCCTCCTATGGTCGGAAGCTGCTCAAGAACCGCGTGTTCGAACTCATCGAGTCTATCAAACTCTTGGAGATCAATGATCACCTGGTGTTCTTCTCCCGAGAGGGTTGTCAACAATAGTTGCAACACCAACTGGCGTTCATTGCTGACCAGTGAGCTCGTCTGCGACACCATGTCACCGTGCATTGCGGCGCTGTGTACAGCAACTGCACTGGGGATTTGAGCCTGGCATGCAGAGGGGCAGCTACTTGGGTAGCCGTCCTTGCTTACTTGGCCATGCACAACTCCAGTGGTTGTTGTTTGACACTCCCTAGCAGACATGTGAGCAGTGATGGATAGCAAAAGGTCAATTGCAGGGGGCAATCCAATCGCTGTCCTTAGGTGGGATGTAGTGAAGCCACCTAGGGGTGGGTAGTAATGGGTAGTTTAGCGCACGCATCAAAGGCATTGTTTGCGGCATAGGGATATCGCCATGCCTCTGACTTGTTCATAGCATACCCAAGGTAAGAAAGCTCAGTACAGTTGTCAAAGGCTCTATACCCTATATAGCGAATGCCGCTCGGGAGGGTCAGGCTCGCCAAGGAGTTACAACCTGCGAAGACTTCTGCTCTGATTTCACGAAGGCAGGATGGCAGTCTGATTGTGTCCAAGCTGTGACATTGCGCGAAAGTGTGCATATGCAGGGTATGAATTCCCGTGTTGGCAATGTTCACCTGGGTGAGCGATTTACAGCTCTCGAAAGCCCGATGGCCTATGTGGTATGTATCTCCACCGAGCTCCACTTGTTGAATGCCGCTTGCGAAGAAGCACCCCTGCGGGACTCCAGCCTGTGGGGTGGATAGCGTCGTGCTGTCCACCACGACCCTCACATTAGGGAGGGTGAGGTGAGCTAGCTTGGCACATTCTTCAAAGGCGTATTGGCCGATGATGGTGCCTATCGCAAGATAACTACCTCCGTCTTTGAATTCAATCAAGGTGACTTGTGCCTGTCGGCACAGCGCCCGTACCCCTTAGGCTACTCTCAACACGTGACCTGTGTCAGGAATCATGTGTGGCCACGGCGGCCATCGCATGGCTGGACAAGTGGCAAACTCCAGACAGCCTGGTGCTGTGACACTAGTGAGCAATTGGCAACCACGAAATGCATTATCTGCGATGCTGACGACCGAAACTGGCATCTTGACTGTCTGAAGCTGTCGACAACACTGCCATGCTTCTGCGCCTACAAACCTGATGCCTGATGCCACGCTGACGTGGCGGAGGCGCGGTACCGCGGCAAAAGCACCTTCAGGCACCACCTGCAACCCGGGGCCAACACAGCTCGGAGTAGGTAACATCTGCGAAACGCTCCATGCTGCAGGCAGACGACTGTGCTGGGCGAGTGGACCACCTGCAGTCGCTGACAGCTCCTCCAAGCAGCCTCACCCACAATGCGGACTCCTGCTTCCACCTGAACGCCTGACTTCCATGTGGAACGAAAAGACTTGTGGCAGTATCCTATCAGTTGTGCTGGATGGGACGCTTTTGCTCCGCCCTTGAGATGCCCTTTGTGTTCCGCCACAAACACTGACGGACAATCACGTTGAAGCAGTTGTTGTCACGCAGAGTGTTCCAAATGGGCTCAACCAACACTTTGTGGGTGTCCTTATGAACGAATTGCAGCTCGGGGTGCTGCAACGCAGTTAAGCAGTTTAGCCTTCCAAGTTTCACCAGGTTTCACTAGGGCCGTGCACGACGGAGGCGAGTCGATTGATGGATCGGATTGCTATCCAGACAGGATAGTGCGTTGCGCATTTGATGCGCTCCCGCAGGCTTAGCTGTTAAGGAGTTTGCTCGAAATGTGCACACCTGCTCCCTCTATTGAGGGAGTCTCGTCAAGGATGGCGCACCTGAAAGCAATGACTACCATAGGCAAGCTGCCCGCCATAGGGCACAGCCCTTCCTGCTTTCGCAATTGCTTGGAACGTTTGTACCAGGATAAAGCTGTTTTCCAAGGCCTGACCTACATTGCTCTTTGATCATCGAGCTTCGACTATTTGCACTCCGAGGGAACTTCTCCGGCGCAGCTCCCCGATGGAAGCTGCAAGATTGCTTGAGCACTTGCGCCTGCAAGTGCTTGTAACTTGGCCTGTCCACATTCAGGCCTTTCGTGCAATGCTTCTTCTTATGTATTGACAGCAGCTTGAATGTGAATTCGTGGCCCAGGTAGCAAGCAGCCGCTGTTCCCCTTCTCACCAAGTTTCACCTATGATGTACAGAGAGGAAACTCCGCTGTTCTTGCGCGTTTCTTGGTTCTTGGTTTTGTTGTTGTTGTTCGGTGGGTTTGGGGTTTTGTTGGTTTGTTGTTTTTGTTTCTTGTTTCTGAATATGCGGAGTTTCAACCATTAGCAAAGATGACCTGTGCACACCGCACACATGGCGTTTCCACTCGTGCAAAAAAAGGCCAAGCTGTTTGGAAGCCACCGACGCAAGTTTTGTGTGTGGCATCATTGTCCTCCTCCCCATTCGGGGAGGAGTGGACATCTGCAGCATGCGATCGCCTCCCTTCAAAACTCCTATCAATCACAGGCTGCACTGCCGAATCTGTTACCGACAGTTTGGAGCTATCGGGAGCATTTTGCGATGATTTTCCCTGGTGCCTGTTCAAAGCTGCAGAGGAATGCCTTTACTTCGCTTTGCATGAAATAGGCTTGCACCTTTGAATGCACGATCATGTAAGCGTTGTTTGCGATGCTCTCCAAGTGCAATAGCATGCACAGCGTGCTGACTCAGTACGCCTTGCTGCCTGCAAGGATGAACTAGGAATGATGAGAGACCAAAAATGAGGAATGAAGAAAAGCAAAACCTCGCGGTCCAGCTGAACTGAGAGCCGGTGGTTAATTCATTGCCCCTGTCTCACCTCCTACTCTTTTGGTCTACATGACCGCTCGAGCTACATACCAGGTTGCGGCGTTGTGGTTTGGGTTTGGTTTTTGTTTGGTGTTGTTGTTGTTTGTTGTTTGGTTCTGTTTTTTGCTGGTGTTTTCTTTGTTTTCGCAACCTGGCCCGTAACACTCTCTTAACTAACACAAGATGACCTGTGCAACCTCTGCACACATGGCGTCTCCACCCGTGCAAAAAAAGTCAAACTTTCACGGAAGACAAACACGTTGACCGGAAGCTCAAGCTTGTCCGATTGATGATGGTCTGCGTGTGCACGAGAGCATCCTTCTTGCTGGACGGTGTCTATCCTGCTCCGCTCATTCACTGACTTGGGCTAGTGGAGGTGAAGGCTTCGATGAGCTGACTGGACGGTTCTCTTGCACACCTGCAGGAATTTTTGATGGCAAACGCATCTCACAAGAGCCTCGCTGCATTCTTTTCGGCAGCGTCGATCGCTTCCTGTCACCCAGCACTGGTCTGTCCATTTGCATCGTGTGGGGGCCTTTTGATTCCTGCAACCCCTGTCAAGGAAGGCATCCTGCCTTCCGGGATGCGCATCGACGACGACCACATGGCATGACATGTCACTTTCGAAGTCTCAGTGATCAGCTGTCGCCCTGGAATGACCTCACGCGCAAGCCAGGAGACTTTACAGGCAGACCATCTTGCTTTCCAAAGCAACACCATTACATCGTGGCCTTGGCACTTGGTGAACTCCTCGATCCCACAAGTTGTCGCGACATACGCCTTTCGCACGGTGAACCGACATTCTATGAGTTGCACAAGCTGGAGCTGCTTCCGTAGCAATTCATCACACGCCCAGCTTCGTTTCACACTGAATTAATTCAAGTGCATTGAGGAAAAACCTCCGAGAGAGAAGAAGATTTCCTGGTCTTGGATTCCTGGTCATCTGGGCCCCTTCTTGGATCTGGCGCTGAGAGGGGTGAACTCCTGGAAAAAAAATGAGGCCGTGTATTTCTGAGAGACGAGGGTCGTGACAGTGAGGAAGTCCTTACACCGCTCATCTGGACGGAACTTATGCTACCTTAGGACCTTTCCCTCGCTTACCGCCGCCGTGTCTGACTGGGCCCCTTCTTGGATTCTGGTCGGTTTTGTGCGGTGTTTTTTTTTGGGGTGTTTTGTTTGTGTTTTGTGTTTGGTTGGTTTGGTGTTTTTGGGTTTGACCACAGGAAATCTTCAATCTTTTCAGTAGCTGACCTTCGCATTTTTTTGCGATGACTGGCAGCCATACTCGTGCGGACAAACAAGTTGCAAGCGATAGTTGATGCAAACTCATTGCTCAGGTTCGCACAGCGGAACGCCTACATCAACTTGAACTATGCTCCAATCCCCATGAAGGACTTCAGCGAATTGCGACTGGTCACCATGATGGAGTGAGGCCAGACGGTACCTCACAAGGCGGCTACATCACGATGCTAGTCCATCAGGATGCTTTTGAAAAGGAGCTTAGCTACCACATCATACAAGCTTCCACGTGTGGCTCGAAGCTCATTAGCTGCAGAAGCGCAAGCTGCTGGACAGGCCTCGGACTCCACCGAGTATGCATGCGGCTTTCTTGAAAGCCTCCTGAATCCACAGAAAAGACTTCGCGAAATCCTGCAGGGTGGAACAGCATTGAAGCCGATCCTCATCACAGATGCAAAAGCATTGTACGACAGCTACCACAAGGAGGGCTGTTCCGGTTCGACCTGAGTTGATAGAAGGAGATCTTTGGAAATCAGGGTCATGAAGGAACAGATCATGTCCCTACATGGTGAGCTACGCTGGATCTCCAGCGACAGGCAATTTGCAGACGGCTTAACGAAAAACCAAACCAGAAGCCTGCTTGCAGACCGCCTGCGGCGTGGTCAGATCAAGTTCATCTACGACCCGGACTATGTGGCTGCCAAGAACAAGACAGCCAAAGATCGAGAAGCGAACAAACTTGAGTTCTCAAAGCGTTGTAGTGGGGCAACAGAACCACAATCCACACAACAGTCAACCAACAACCACACACAACACAAGCAAGATGATGATGATGATGATGATGATGATGATCATGAATGGATGGTTGATGAAGAGGAGCCTACATCGACAACAACGAGACCTATGGCAACGCCAAAATATGTGCAGCGAATCCTCTTCGCTATGATGGCCTTCACCTTGAACAAAACAGCGCTAGGTGAAACAGCGTTAGTGGCCAACAACGGCGACGCCAATGAAGTCCTTGTGAATGACACAGGCACGAAAGTTGTTGACGGTGATTTCATCAACTCTATGGGTTGGTGCATCCTGTACATGTTGGCCGCTCTGTGCATGCTCTTTGGCACGATTCTCGGCTACCTCTACGGCAAGCGCGCCAGTCGACTCCAAAAGTTGGCCATGCAAGCAGAAATCACCAACCTCACTGAGGAGGCAGAAAAGTGGAGGAAGAAATGGTGGGACACTGACACCGACATGGCCAAGGCTCTTCAAGAGCTGATCGACGCCAAGATGGCCCACGAAAAGGAGAAGAAAGATCTCATGGACACCATGGAGGTCTACAAGGTGGAGCTTGAACAAGCAGAACACAACGATGCTGAAAGCTCCAATGCCAGAGCTCTGCTGAATCGAGCTCTCGGGAAGATCGAGGGTCACCTATGGGACTGCCCACTCAACGACAGGGCAGATGTCTTCATGTCCCCACATGGCAATGTGTGGCATCTACAACATGATTGCCATGGACTTGCCACCGCCCGCAACGTGGAGAACAAGCGACCGTGCACATGGTGCGCTGTGGTACCACCTCCGTTCCAAGGTCAACGGCCTGACACGACACTGCTGGAAGATCTTAGGGATCACATCGGCCAAACGAGCTATGAAAGTGTGATTGTGGGTTGACTTGCTCCACATTTGTTTTTCACCTTTCTTTTCCCTGTGCAAGTTTCATAGACTTGAGCCACATCGGCATGTATCGATCGACCGATACTTGTGCTCGAATCACCTGTTTGCCCACAGAGGGTGGGCGTCGACCACGAAGCCATCGGAAGCCTTGAAAAGGACCTCGTGTACCTTTTGCTGCTCGGAAACTTCGAGAGTTCCTTGGTTTGCTTGCTGTTGGGTGCACCTCATTACTTCTTGCAAGTTACAACTGCAAACAAAAGATGTACGTTGAAACTTCGAGAACGAAGTACGTGCTCAGAGAGATGAAAAAAAATCAAAAATTGAATTAGCTGGCTGACAAGAGCATTGCAAAGATGATTGAACAGGTGCATAGTGTGTCGAACCCCCCACACTGAAGGTTCTGCATTCAGTCACGAATGTGCGGATGTCAGCCAAGAACACCATTTACAACTATGCACCGCACCATATGTGCGATGCGGGGGTTTCTTAGAATATCAGCAGGATCCACATGAGAGTCACCCACACAAAGCACAGCACAAACCAAGAAGTGTACCAGGATACTTCAAAATCCAAACCAATTTGGGAAGAGGTCGCGCGCTTTGCACATTTTGGCAGCAAGTGCATTTCTGATGGTTTCAAAACACCGTGTTTCACACGTATACCATGCCTTTCCAACGTTTACAGTTTACAACGCTGGTCACATTGACAAAATTTAGATTGACATCTAAAGAGTGGTCACACATTGCAACATCGAACCTGTAAATTTCAATTGGGGCATGCTGTTAAGGTGAAGCTGTGAGTTTGTTTGTGTTGCACAAACGTCACTGCTCAGTTGGTGACAGGTGCGACGTGCCTGGTGGTTCCACCAACGGGCCTTGCATCACATGAGAGAAGAATTTGGACGGATCAAAGGCCATGAGAAGAATGCGGTTCGTCCAGAGATCAAGGGGATGGGACGCGGTGTGATGAACGTGATGTTTGCTGACGACCAAATTCCAAGCTGTTAGGCTCAGGCAACTTGACAACACAAAACATCTTTTGAAAAGGTCAAGAACAAAGCTTCTTTGAGAGCGTTATCTAAACACATTGTGTACCTGTATTAATGCAAGTAGGTCCGAGTCCTAGTTGTTGACAGCATCATGTCTGTGTAAGCGCAGTAAAGAGCATTCGCGTGAGCTATGGCAGGTGACATCCTTTGCTGAACCTCCAGTTTCCCATGAATCCAACATCAAAGGAAAATGACAACGAGGAGAGCTCTGGCAGTGGTTTTCGGTATATATCAGACCTAGGTCGGAAACAATTGCCCCAATACAAGTACACTGGCAGTGACAATTCTTTGATGTATACCTATTTCTGTTCACCGCTGGCAGATGCTTTGGTCAGGCTCATGCCCACATGGCTGGCCCCAAACACAATTACATTTTTGGGTCTGGCATTTTCCATTGCTGGATACATTCTCGTTCATATTTATGCACCTACTTTCAAGGAACCATGTCCTTCCTGGCTTTGGCTGGTTTTGGCTGCTTGTACGTTTGCATACCAGACCCTGGACAATATTGATGGCAAACAAGCCAGAAGAACGAACAGTTCCTCCGCCCTGGGTTTGTTCATTGACCACGGGGCCGATGCCCTGAATATCATTCTAACCTCGCAGAATGCGATGGCTTTGCTGCAGCTTGGCCAACGAGAGACCTGCTGGGCCACCCTGGCCATCTGGACTGCAACATCCACCCCATTCTTTTTTGCGACCTGGGAAGAACATTTTACCGGCTCGCTGTACTTGGGCCTGTTCAATGGCCCGACCGACGGGGTGTTGATTGTGTGCGCGTCCTATGTGGTCACAGCCTTGTCCAGCCCTGGTTTCTGGAGTGGGCAATGTGTTCTTGGCATGTCACGAGCAGAGTGCATGATCTTTTTCTATTTAGTTTGCGTATTCTTCACAGTCTCGGCCAATATCTATTCAGTCCAGCAAAAGCTCAGCTCCAGTCGGCACTTGGGTGCTGGCCTATCCTTGACAATACCATTCTTGCTGCATCTTCTCTTTGGGTATTGGATGCTTGGCCCTCTGCACCCAACTGAAACAAATACCAGACTATCCCTGTGGTTCCTCGGGTTTTGCTTCCTGATCCTTGTGCACCCTGGCAGCAGCGTTTGGTTTGTCTCGCAGTCGATCTCATCTCGTGTTAAGTCATTCCGGTCGCGGCTGATGGCCCGGACCTGACTGTTCGGATTCCTATTTTTACATTCTTTTGTTCCGAGGTCCGCTCTTCAGCTTGCGAACGTGTGCGGGGAAAGGTACAAACCTTGGCGTTGGACCTTGACCGTTTTGGCGTGCCTGTTGGCAGACTACATCCTAAAAAGAGGTTCTCTTTGGATAGCAACCACTTTGCTGCTCTTGATATGGCTCCACTTTGTGATCCAAGTGGCCAACGAAATGGCCGACATTCTCCGGATTTCCATTTTCACCCTGACGCGCAACAACGAAAAAAGGAGGGCGATCCTGCCGGCCAGTGGAAGAAGATGAGACTCTGTTGATGTTTCTCAAACGAGAGAGGTGCTATGTTTTTGAAGCTGTGACAGTGACTTTGTGTTTTTTTTTTGTGTGTGTGTTTGTCACGACGCGTTTGGCTCAAAGAACATCAGTCATCAATGAAGTCCAGTGGAGCCGAGGAGCGGACGCAGATGCTCGAACGGATGCGTGTTTGATGGGTGATCGATGAGTGTTTGATGGGCTGCAGGAGGTGCTGGAGCACTCCAGGCATGATTCGCACAATAGGCTTTGCGCTGGCTGCCAGCGCAATGGCCCATGAAGAGGCATCCTCTATTTCAGCTTTGCAACAAGCTTCAGAGCCATTGCTTGTTGTGTTCAGGTCAGCATCACAGAGTTCTTGGCTTGGATTTTTAAAAGCTGAAGTGTACCACTCACATTTTTGTATTTTTTTACAAAGACACCTTGAGCCTTGCAAGCTCCAAGACCCTTCAACTTCGGGGGTGCTGCAAATGCGACCCGCACAGCCATATTCTTAGGTCTTGAAAGTTTGAATCAGGAGTCTTTTTTGCACAGCATTCAGCTCAAGTCGGACATTGCAGAACTGTTGGAAAGCAAAGCATTTTTTAGATCCTATCCAACGCCTCAGGCTTTGCAGTCCTACTTGCAGAGCAGTCGGAGACTACTGTTCTTTGTCTCAGAGCACGCTGGTAAGTCTGTGCCCCGAGGATTCAGCGCTGCTTCTCCTGTATTGCCAGGGAAAGGAGAGTGAGTGTTCGCAATCGAAGCTTCCACCACTCTGTAGACCTGCCTTTCCTGGTTTCAAGAGCTTGTTTTTCGAGGAGACCCTGCACTGGACCCTTGTCCTGTCTTAAATGAATGGCACGAAGCTGAGATGACTGACCAAAGGGGGCACAGGTGGCAGAGATGCTGCAGAGAGTTGTCGTATGTGTTGAGCAAAGGCCCAGCAAATTGGAGATTGATACGCCAAACCCTTGTACTCTTTCGCCAACTGGAAGCTGGACTGCAGCATTGCAAATGTAGAATTGAAGAGGGATCATGTTGTTTCATGTGCCCTTGTGCAGGACAACATCCGAAGCCTCATTTGATGGAGAAGAAGCCTTAGCTTGGTGTTGGCCACATGTTTTTCACAGAAGACCAAGTGCTGGTCATATCAGACAGAGGCACCTTGGTCGGGATCTTGGCTGCCAAGGTGCCTTTGGTCATGTCCTGGACCCAGCAGTGCAGTAAGCTTGGAGGAGGCGTGGTCGTTTTTCATGACTGTCCAGGGAAACCTTGCAAGTCCAGATGCATGACCCTGATTGTCCGTGCGCCAACTGGGCAAATGAACATAGTGATGAACATATGGAATCATATGGAATCTTGAATAAATGCACCAGTTGGTAGACAAAGAGGACCTTCAGCTTCTGACAGTCTTGAAGGTTTGGTTCCCATCACCTCCTACACGCTTCCCAGCGGTGGCGTCTTTGGGTCAACCCAGCCAGCCAACGGCTCAAGCTATTTTGCTCGGTCCTGCTGCTCAAGGCGCTGCAGTTTTGTGCTCAAAACGGTTCTTCAGGTGCCTTCTTTAACTGGGAACACCTTTCGCTTGAATGATTGCGTTGGATATACGCAAGCGGCCTAGATGCCTAAGAAAGATATTTCTGGCTGCGATTGAAGAAAGCTTTTGCCAACCAAGACGCTTCTTCTTGGACGAGAAGGCCTTGAAATTCTTTGAATTTTGAAAACAACATGGAGATGTCAACCGGAATTGAAGGTATACCACGTGCCTGGCGAGCCGGATGCACACGCTTGTGAGATCTACGGCTCCTGCGTGTTGTGCCTAGCAATTATTCTTGGCCATCTCAATCCCGTTTGGAGAGCCGACTTGTGCTTTGAGCTTCACATTTGCAGCTTATCACACAGACCAACCATGAACATTTGTAGACCCGAACATGACAAATGGCACCCCCTATCGCAACTGAGGATGGGTCAGTCTTCTTGCAATTTCTCATCAGAGATCATGTGACTCGACACGCGACTATACTACTGACTAGTAACTTAGGACTTGTCGGACATACACGCCAATTCCAAAAGCCTATGTCATCAGGATTGATCCAACATTGGCATTTCCTCTTGAGGCCTATGTCATCAGGCCACAACCATGATATTCATAGAAATATGTATGAGGTATTCAAGGAAGCAACACATAGTCGCGCCCTATGTCACCACTGTGTCACCAGAGTGCCAGGCAGTGGTATCTAGCATTATTTAGCTGTTTGTTTACATTTTTTGTCGAGGAGGTGTCCACAGGTCCTATGACACCAGGTTTCCCAACCCAGACATTTTTTTTGCTCGATATGTCGGGCACATGACTTAGCCCTGGGGGTAGCCAGATTGGTATGTCACTTGCATCACGTTGGCCTAAGTCATTAGACAGTAGTATAGTTGTCTTCTTGTCTGGCCCTTCTTGCACGAAAAACATGGCCAGGCAGGTCGCACGATCGCTCACACTCCCTACCTTCGGTTGTTCCAGAGTTCTTTCAACATAGAGGCAGGTACCGCACCTTTTCGCTCGCTTGGCTCGCTTTGGATCTTTCCTTCTCTGTGGCCTTTTCGCGTGATGGCACAGGATGTCAATGGTCTATTGGTGGCACAGGTGGAGAGGCCGGTCGATGCGGGTCGATGCCATTTCGGTGGCTTTCTGCGCGCTTGTTCGAGGGTGGATCGGTGGAACCCCATGTCGAAGACATGCACCGGTGAAGCACACAAATGGTCGGCAGCTGAGAGGATCACCATGTGTGAGTAACAGGCTTGGTAGCGTTTTGTTTTTTTGCTGGGTCCTTACGAGCTGCAGGTTAGTGAAGTTTCCCGAGTTGGGCATCCCAGGCAGGTTGTTCTGCCTGACCTGACAGAAGCTGTGAGAATTGCTGTTTCAGGAGCCTCCGCTCTGTTTCCCACTGTTGCTGACCGATGGCCTGTGGTGCGGCACCTGAGAGACTGAGATTGATCCAATGAAGACGAGAGACCTGAAGACGAGAGACCTGATGGGACATGTTGGGATTGGACACTGATTGACCCAGCATAGTGAGATGTTGCGGTTTTGACTCCCAGAAGCACAAGCTGGGTTTTGAGGCTGAGCTTGTGACCATTATGTCAACTCGCGATGGAAGCCGTTTGCCTTCTGGGCTGGTGGCCCCCAGCCTTTGCGAAGTGGAAAAGACCGGGCCAGAGGCTCAAAAGAAACTGTGTGAAGGTATTGTTTCAGGCGTTCAGCTGCGAAGAATTAGAACTGTGGCAGAGCTGGGACGGTGGAGATTCTGTACGATTAATTTCACTTGAATGACCAAGGCTGCTGATCTTCTCCATTGCATTTCTTGTAATTGCTGTTGGAGCTGTTGCCATTCTGCCTGAAGCTTATTCGAGCAAGGCCACAGTTCGCATAGCACGAACATTCTGCAAGAGTGTTCTTTTCGTTTTTTTTGTCCCTTGAAGCCATGAGTCAATCCTGGCGAAGGTGGCTTTGATGTCAGTTGATCACCTACTAGCGATGGCCTCCGTTGGCGGATTCTGAGGTTTGTACGTGTTGGGGTATCGCCCACCCAGCTCATGTGCTTGGACTTGGAAGCCCGCTTTTGTGCCGGACCTCAGAGCCGAAAAACACCGAATGTGACCGGTTGGATGTTCCGAGTTCGATCCGGATGTGTCCGGTTTGGGAAGACCTTTGGTCCTTTGGTTTTGTTCAGTGAAAAGCACAGAATCATGTTGACCTCGGCTTTCTTGCTTTCAATCTCATCTGAGAAGACAAAAGATACGTGACATCTTGCTGAAGGCAACATTCGTCAATCCTGTGGTTGGTGTTGGTGGGCTACTATCCCTTTTCGTTCGTGATGTCAACTTCTTTTCTTGTTTTTCCACTTCCCCGTGCGAGACCGACCAAATCAACCGGCACCGGCTGTGCCAGAGAGTTTCTCAGTTCCTGGTGCCCGTGCGAGGCCCCCGAAGGAAGAGGACTCCAGCCAGCCTCCCGAAATACACGGTTTGAAGATCCGGAAGGACGCGTCTCAAAAAGCGCTCAGTTCCTGGTTGAAAAAAATGGCCAGACACGGCCATGTGCGACAAAAGGAGTTCCGCTAAAAAAGAACTCGACACTCGGAGAAACACCTCATCGGCCATGTTGGACCTTTGATTTTGGCGACTCTCGCAGTCTTGTGAGGTAAACATCCTTTGTCTAAAAACCTTTCGCACCTTTCGCAGCGTTTTTGTTGATTGGGAACTTGCCCAAGTTGGGACCATGGCAAGCGCTGCTCTTAGAAAAGGACGAGCTCTGACTGTTGATGCCAGCGAAATACTGTTGATCTTGAGAATCTTTGGAAGATTGAAGCGAAAAGGAGAGTAGCGAAAGCAAAGGTCCATGGCAAACTTTGGGGCGCTTCGACTTCCAGCCAGATCCTGGCTATGTCAGAAACATGGAGCACTGCTGGCCAGTGATGGTAATACCTGGGATTGGTCTTTTGTCTTGAGCTTGATGTTGGCTTGACACTCCAGATTCCTTAAGACGCTGGGATTACCTTGTCAAATCCTCTTGCCAGGGAGTTCTACACAACGAGCACTGCGATTGGAAAATGCCGCCTTGATACGGTGGGATTTTTGTCCGGGTTTGGAGCAGGATGTGTCAAAAGCCTCTGGGCATTCACATTGCATGGAAACATCCTCCCAAAAAAGATGGTCCACTGCAAATATCGGAGCAGCGGGTCGTCCCGACGCGCGACGCGTGGGGCATACGTGGAAAGAAACCGCGCAGGTGGGCCACCTGAAGCCCTGCGATGATCGGCATGTGTGGGCCCGGGAGGATTGAAGGAGATCACGTGGCACATGAACTTCACCTGGTATCATATGTATATATATATATTGTTTATAGTAATTATATGTTGTATCAAAAACGACATATTCCAGAGTTCTGCATGGCAAGTCTTGCTTTCTATTTTGTTTCCTATCTCCCTGTTCTCAGTGCCGGTCTTAGGCTCCAATCCGACTCTACCGCAGCTATGGCGAGTGGTTTGAAGCCGGTCTTCAGGTCCGTCCGGTCCGGGATCGGCTCCTCGCCGCGCGGGTCCAACGAACCGTCCAGGCTCCGATGCCCAACGTGACCCTGGAGACGACGTCGTCTGCAATCCGAGACGGCGACGGGCCGCGTTCGACGACTTCGTCTGAGGTTTGGCATGGATTTTAGAGCTTTTAGGTGTCGCTTCTGTCCTGAGGTCTCGCTTCTGGCCCTATGGGCAGAGTGTGACGAAGCTGTACCAGACGACAGATAAGAAACATCAGTGCGCTTTTCAGGATGAACTTCATGTGGAATGCTGGTTCTGAATCGACTGGATCTTGAGCAGGTACAAGCTTGATGATAGAACAGTGCCCAGCGCAAAGTGCCAGACTAAGGATATCTTTAGAAGCGCAAGCTCTTCCCTTCCCTCTCCTTGTCCCTCTCTAAGATGTTATTTACTAGGCTTATGGTAGTTGCTGCACATGGCAACAAATATGGCAGCCAAAACTGAAAAGCCCAATGACCTGCAAAACACAGGCCCTATGTCCCTCCTGGAAGCCCCTCCTTGCCAGACTTGAGAGCATATCGTGGAGGCAGGACTTAAAGTACATCCGGTGAAGTTTTCATTTTGATACTCTACATCTCGGAGAGTTCCTAATAGCAATGGCCTCCAACCTAATAGCAAAATAGCAATGGCCTCCAACCTACTAGCGATGGCCTTCAACCTACTGGCGATGGCCTACTTGACATTTCGGAGAGCTCTTCAAACTGGGCACTGTGTCTTCCCGAACTTCCGTCACTTCCCTTCTTGTGTCCTTCTGTCAGGAGGGTCCCGACACCTGGATCGAACGGACCATCAGGACGGAAGGATTTTCTCCATTCCCAAACATGTGGGAGTGTACTTGAATAGGGAGAGCTGAGACCCGCAATCAATTGTCTTTGGCCTCTTTCCAGAACCTTCCAGGGGTTGCGTTGGAGGTCTCCCTATTTTGATACACACCCGTGTTCATCTGTACATGAGTTGGCAGTGCTGTTTCTTGACTGAAACATCTCAGTACGTGAGAGCTTTCCGGGACGGAAAACGTCTTCGCTGCCATGCCTGGCATGTTTTTTGCGACCTGTGACATTTGGAACACCTCGGCTTTCTGGAACATTGGTCAGGCGATTCTTTTCAGCTGTTTGAAAGATGACAGGATTCGGGCCTTCATGGAAGCTGTATCTGACGCTAGTTGTGTTGCGCTCTTCTTGTGTTTCATAGCTTTTTTGGAGAGAATACTCTGAAGGAGAAAACTCTCCGCTCATTTTCTCGTTTTACCACATGGGCCTCAAGGGCGGATGGTGGAAAGAAGAAAAGAAAAGAACAACGCCCACGTGCTGCACGGAAGGACGCCAAAGGGACTTTTGTCATGTGGAATGTTGAGGAATTCGATGGGAATTTCTTTTGGACACTCCTCCATACTCTGAAGAACAAAAAGGGTTTGAATGAGTTGGAATTTTTTGGAATGCTCTTGGTGTGGCTCAACTGGGATCGCGTAGAATTTGCAATGGACAACTTTGCGGCACAGCATGGTGCCTGGCAGTCGAGGGCTTGATGTTTGGTCGAAACGGATTTGACAACATGAAGGAGACTTTGAAGCCTTAGCGAATTGTAGCGATCTCTCAACGGGACAACTTTGAGTCTCTCAAAGGCAGCATTTGGGCAAAGAGAGAAAGGCCAGACAAAAAGGCACACTTTGGTACCGCCCTCAGCAACTCCTCCAAAAAGCTGCCGGGTCAGTTCGGGTGCCCAAACACACCATCAGCCCACCATCAGCCCATTCACCCGAAGGTACTACGGACGAAAAGGAGGTGCAGAAATCCTTGCGCCCAAAGCGCCACCAGCGCCCAGCGTCGATGACGTGACGAAAGTCGGGTGGCTCGGATGGGGGGGTTGGCTTGGTCGATGCCCCGTCTGAGCCGCAGTCGGAGCCAGGTGATTTTTGATCGGCTCTACCAGTCGAATTCTTTGCCCGTCAGCAGCTTGAGGAAGTGAAATGCCTTGTTCTCGAGCCGAGCCACACCGTCGCACCGTGGAGCCGGAGCCAAGGCTTTGCCGCCCTCCCGCGCTTCCTCGAGGCGGGAACCGGACGGTCCAGGCACGCGAACCGGACGGACGAAACAACGCGCCCAGGACGCCGAGTCAACGCGAGCGAGCTCGGCGGCCGTTGGGATCCTTTTCTGGACTCGTGCTGTGTGGGGCCTAGGGTTAGCCGTGTGGGCCGTTGGCGCTGTGGCAAGATCTTGCAAGTTGGCATGGCCTATTTTGGGGTGTCCTAGTCGGCAGCTTTTTGTTGGCTTGCCGTGAGCTTCTGCTTTCCCGTCAATTCAGGCAAGAGAATGCAGAGCTCGAGAATGGTCCTGCAACTGGTGCTATCTTCTCAAGCAGATCCGGTGGAAGCAGGAGATCTCGCCCTGCTACTGGCCAGCGCCAACCTTAGAAACACCTTGGCTGAGCTTGTTTGTGTGCGTCTCAGACTCCGACTCAAGGCACAGTGGAGCCGAGCATAACTTGCTGTTCTTCAATGATCAGCCGCCTCCTTGGTTTGAACTCTTCTGGTGGGTGATGGGGCCCGTCGACCAAAAACGTTTCTCCTTCGCGTGGCATTTGTTGGGACAAACACCGCACGAGGCAAAGGCAACGGACACCCTCACTTCGCAGCTCATCGTCCTTTAGTGCCACCTCTTCGTTGTGGTTGGAGGTTTGCTTGGAGCGAAGCTGACGGGCCCAACGAATGAACGCGGTCTGTGTTGTGCCAGGTCGAGAAAGCAGTGCAGGAAGAGGTCGCTAAGGCGAAGACTTGAACGTAGGAAGGTTGGAGGCAGACAGGTCATGTAGGAGTGAGTTGAAAGAAACAGAAGTTATCGGGTGTGAGAACATGTCCAAGTAGACTCTTTTGTTCAGCTGGAGAAAGGAGCAAAGGGTTCTGACCTACAGCCATGCGACTGCTTGGCCTTTATCCAGCAAAGCTAGGCTGCTAGTCATTGTTGCTGCCTTTGTTCTCAGCACTTCCCACTTCACAAACTCACTTGCACTGACCTGTTCTTGCTAGAAAAAAGCAATACCCTAGTGAGGTGCATGGTGACCTTCGATCGACCATTTTTGAGCACGAAAAACACAGCGTGCTGGTTCGGAAGGTTGTGAAGCCATTGCAAGAGCAGCTACTTTCAGAGGACAGGGCAAGGTTGGAGTGAGATGAGAGGACATGGCAACCGATGATCTCCACAACGCTGTGGAGATCATCGATGTGACAAAGTGGTTCCTTCCCGGTCAGTCTCGGTTCATGGCTGGAGGTCTGGAAAGATGTCCATCACACCGCATGAGGAAGATTGTGGGTAGTTTACGTTCAATTGGGTTGCACAATGGAATTCGCTTGTGACGAGGCCTTGTGAGAAGGTCCAACAGTTATGCTGCACAAAAAGATACTTTTGTGACCAAAGTGCTGCTACTTGTCTGGTCCAAGAGCGACCTCGTATCGAGTGCATGGCGCAACGCGGGTTCTCAGACAAAGGATAAGAACCACAGCAAATTGGCAACAAAGGATAGGTTGCAAACAGGATTGATCGAGAATGAAGAAGACAGCCGGGGTATCAGTTGCAGCCTGTTGCAGCTCGCACTGGCAGTTTACTTTGTATATATATATATATATCTACTCCCCAATACATTGCCTTCCTTGACCTTGAGGAGCACGCGCGGAAAAGGGCCGAAGAAGCCCTCAGGACCTGCTGCTCAAAGGCACGACATGTCCTTTCCCCTCTGTGCCACGCTTTGAGGCTCCTCAACGTGGAGGCGACAGACAAGTCTTAAGGCGGGTGTGGCTAGAAGAACCCTCAAACAGAACCCTCACCAAGAACCAAATCCCCAGTTTGGAAGGCGTCCTGAGTTTCTGGCACCCAGGTATTTCTGAGCTTGCCCAGAAAGCACACCCAGCTATTCGGTCCGAGCTCGGTGCTGGGTGCTGGTGCTTCCTCGGCATGTTCCTTGGGCAGTCAACATGCCTCCGAAGTTTGAGGGAATTTGGAGTTTCACGTCTCACGCTTTCAAGATATGTCTCACCCTTTCCCATGATCGCTGCCTCCACGGTGACAACCACTGGCCATCCGCAGTCTGTCGAATCGGTCTCGACTGAGCAACGACTGAGCTGTTTTTGCTTCTGGCAACGACTGAGCTGTTTCAGCATTTGCTCAAACATAGTGGCTGAAGGCCACCAAGATTCAAGAGTACCCTCAGTATTAATTGGAGAAAACTCTGAACAGTGGTTCTGCAGACAATATGCACTATGAACCCTCAAAGATGGCTCGAAGGCTCACACCCTCACTTCAGCTTTTTATGGGTGCGAAAAAGTTGCAGCTCAGAATTCCATGCTTCAAGCATGTGTAGAATGTGTCGTTAAAATCATATCAACCAATATCTGAATCCGTGGTCTTGGGTGTTTTTTGCGCTTTGCAGCACATGCGAAACATCGCTGGCATCGGAGTGAGGAGGCCATGGCCCGGCTCCCGCCGCCGCCCCGAGCGGACCGAGCGGGCTTGGGCAAGCGACGGCGAAGCACAGAATGGGATGAGGAGCGGCGGAGTATCCATCATGTCATGACATGACTATGTCACTCTGAAAATTGAACCTGGGGCCAACGACCAGTCTTTTGTTGGCACCTGTTCATGTTCCGCCCGAAGCGGCAAACCGCCCGAAGCGGTTGTCACTTCACCGGTCGTCCGAGTTTCGGAACTTTTCGCGCAACTCCGGTCTTTGCTTCGTGGAGTATATGGTCCCCCTCCCAAAAGTCTACCTCAACTTGCATTCATATATATATATATATATATCATGTTATGTAATTACAATATTTTACAATAAGATAAGTTATATTATTTTGTGTTTTATGTTCTTTATTTTCTTCTTTTCGACGAAAAGGACATGCCGGGTGACAGTCGCTCACCCTCTCGACCTCGGGAAGTTGGGGGGCCCAGTTGGCCGGGCTGGGGCTTTTGAGCACGAGGAGCGGCCTGGGATCCGGCGGGGTCTCCCACGAAAACCCATGGGTTTTGAGGCTTTGAGGTGCAGGTGAGAACCCATGGAGTTTTTTTGGGTAAATCATCACGACCAATTTCACAACCTACTGAAAGCAAATGGAAACAACGAAATGGAGCTTCAGTGACAAAGCGTTGCAGTATTGAAACAAATGCCCAGGTGCGACGGCAGTCATCCAGGCAGTGGTTTTAAAGGTTGGTTCCATTTCTTTATGTCAGCAGCGGCTTCGGCGGAAGGCTGATTGAACGCGATCGAGATGCAAGAACGAGCAGGAGCCGAAGTGAGCAGCTAAGTAATGATCGGTGGTGTCGAGAGAAAAGGACCAGAACCAGAGTTTGAAAGAAAACTCAGATTGCTACTTTCAAAGTGCAATTTCTTTTGTGCCACCTTTCTTTTTTCATTGCCACTGTGCCCCTCAGGCCCTACTCTGCCCTACTGGCCCTACTCTGCCTTGTTCTTCGCGCCGTTGTGAGGTCCTCCACAACGACGCGTCATTTTGCCCGGCCGTGGCAGCCGAAGTCGCAGCCGTGGCAGCCGAAGTCCAAGTCGTCGAGGTGCGGCAGCCAAGTCGTCGGTCGTTGGGAACGGGCAGCCGGGCATGATTGATTTGGCAGAAATCGTTTTCATCGACCCATTTGAATTGAAGATCCTCTTGATATGGGGGGGTGATTCTTTCTATTCTTTTTATCAAGAGTCTACAGTATGTCAGATGATCACACTCATGATTCTTGGGATAGATCGGTGTGTCCCGAACAATACTTGCATACAAGTGACCGTCTTGCTGGGTGCGAATCACTGTGGCTCTCAATGTCCAGTCGTCGACAGTCGTCGACATGTGTGTCGTTTGGCGTCTTCGTTTGGCACTTCAATCGACGCTGAGGTCCTCGAGGACGACCTCAAGGCCTTTGGGGGACTAAGCAATTGCTACTAGTAGCTTCTTGTTACTAGCTACTAAAGCTCCGCGGCACCGCGGAGAGGGCAGTCGGCGGTGTTTTCACCGAGGCCGGTCGGCGCCCCAACTCCGTGGTGCGCTGCCACGGCGGCGCGTCGTGTCGGGCAGCTGAGCTTCGCCGTCTGACCAGACCGACCTGTGAGCCCTGTGGTGAATTTGCTGAGGGCGCCGGACGATGGGGGTTGGGGTCGCAGGGGTTCTGGACTGACGCCTGGCCGACACGCTTGGCGGAAGAACACCAGGAAAGACGTCCGGCGACGTTTTCGGTGCAAAGCTTTGCATCTTTGGCCAGGCTTACTCCAGCAGGCGCGGTAGTAAACTGCCACTGCGCCAGAAGAGTCAGTGAGTGGATTGAAGCATAGAAACTCGGAAGTCCAGGGTCTTTGTTTGTCCCGCAAGACATGTGACATGAAGTTGAAGACTTTTAGGAAAGTTCTACGTTTACTTTTGAGCACTTTCACGAATGCTTGCATGAACCTGTCGTCATGCTCAGCTGGTGCGAACCGGCGGGGAGCCAGCGATGAAGAGTCTGCAACTGAGTCCTGCTCAGGGTTCTTCAAATGCTCTGGAGGTGTGACAGCAGTATTAGAGGACTTTAGAACCAGTATCCTTTTGATCCTTCCTTCAAAATTGGCTTGACATCAAAATATACATAGGATTACATGGGGACAAATGGACATTTCTGGTAGCCAACCAGGAGATAGAATGACATGGGACTGGAGATGTTGCCTTGCTGATTTCCCTCCAGCTCACATGTTTGCCTCCCCGGTCCTCCTTGCTGAGACAAGGCTCTTCAGTATTAGTATGCACCCGCCTGAAAGAACTGGGTAAATCTTCAAAGCGCCCGAACAACGCCACACCGCCACACACTGGTTAGAACCAGTCGCCGCGGAGACTCTCCGGGCCGCTGCGTTCTGCTTTGTGACTTCCTTCGGCTATCAACGAAGTTGTGGGTTTGCTGCTCAAAACGGTGGGATGTTTCGACGGACGGCATCGGCTGCCGACTCGGCTCTTGGTTTGATTTTTCCCACTCGTTTGAAGCTGCCGGCAAGTCGGGGCCTTCACACTTCAGAGCGTCAGAAGCTCGCACAAAAGAACCACATACTGCGGGCAGTGTTCTTTTGACCCGACCCTGTGTACACACGTGAATGGTTCATTTCGTTTATCTTGGCACACGTCCTGCCAAGAGGAAAATGGTGATTTCTTCGGCAACAGTTGCCCTGATCGTGCCAAGGAGCAGCATTTCTTCACGTATAATCACGTATATAACGTATGTATGTGTGCAATTGTATACATATAAAGTTATATATAGTTATATAATTAGATAAAATCCGCACACACACACACACACGACTGAGTAACTTGGAATAGACAAGACACATTCAAGTTGAAGCAATGATGCCACAAAAGGCACACATGCAAAGCCCACTAAAGCACCTTTATTGATTTGTTTGTGTGTGAGAGCGAGAGTGTGTTCGCGAAAGAGCAGATTGTCTCCAATGCCGGCGACGATGTACCGTTCGGTGCTTTCGACAGACGTGGTCACTGACCACTGTGGACCTTTGCACCACTGCTGAACAGCGGCAGCGGCCGGCCGTTTCGGCTGTTGGTTGGTCTAAGGTTTGGACCTCGCCGGAGATATGATGGCAGAAGATCTGAACGTGTCCAGAGCTCATGGGAGCCTGAGAATGGCTGGTGAGCAGATCAGCTCGAAAGAACTGATATAATCGAGATTTAGAGTGGCTGGCTGAAGGAGTAGATGCAGATGGCTCAAACTCCCAAACATGACTTGATTATTGAGATCCCTTCCATCTTTAGTTTCTGGATTTGGTGCCTAGATTAGTCATTGGTCTAGATTGAGCTGTGAGACATCAGGAAGAGGATGATGGCTGGAAGAGACCAGATCCTGAACGCAGCAAGAAGTATCGCTTGCGGCTTGAGGACCTTCAGTTCGAAGTTCAGACTTTGCAGCTTGACCTCTGTCCGTTTAGAATTCGGTTGTGAAAGGATTGGATCTTGGCTGTGAACCTCTTGCTAAGCTGGGATGACCAAAAGACCATCTCAGCAGCTGACATGGAAGAGTTCCTCTCACGGTTTTTGGAGGAAGGGATGAGAAGTTCAGAAGTTCAAGGCATCAAACTGTTTAAGACACTGAAGATGCATTGCCCTGCAGTATGATGCCAAAGTGAAGTACCGCATCACACCGCGACTGACCTCCGAGATATTCTTAAGGCCAGTTTTTCGCCACACACGAGCAACATCTGAACATTCTCACCACAACACATCGTCTGTTGCTGAACTTTTCAGGGGAATCCTTCGTACCCTCTGGGACATTGATCGTTTGTTGCGCCCAATGCTTAGTGAGCTGCACAAAAAGAGCCAGTGCACCGTGATTCTGCAGCTGCCAGGTGTTATGAACCCTGGCGAGGAGCTAAAGATGGTCACCGCCAAAAGCCCTCTGGTCCTCAGCATTCTGCGGGTCCGGCGCAGATGCGCGGTTTTCCTTGCGCGGTTCGCCAGCGAAGCTTCGCCAGCGACGCTTCCGTCCGGGCAGGTGATGGCGTACGAGTTCATGTGGACCCCAAACTGCGCTGCTCGAGGAGCCAAAGAAGGCCACCATGCAGAGCAGAGCAGAATTGTTCTGAGTAGAGCGCATTTGCTTTCAGGGTCGTGACAGAATGAAACTAGTATCTATAGTTATAACATGCAAGTAAGTCTTTTCTGGCTTTGCTTTGCCTGGTCTGCAAGGTGCAAGGGATTTAATGGAAAGGGTCAGCCTTTCAGTCAAGGCAAGAACAGCACAGTGGTGTGTGCAGTTCAGTTCCTTCCAAAAAATTCCACCAGGAAGGTGGGAGGGTCTCCCTTATGCATACACCATTTTTGTTGAGGCTGACAGAGATTGGATCACCGATGCGATGATCCGGATGGGTGAGGCCTTTGAAAAGGCGACAGCCGGATGGGTGAGGCATTCCTGGAAGTTGGGCTCTGCAAAAGAAGTTTCGTCCCAACAAATCGATACTAGGTGAGTACGTCCCAATACGGAGGTACCCGCGACGGGTGAGTTTTTCTAAGAGGATGACTGGAGCTGGTCATGAGCTGACCGGACTTTTCCGAAGGAGAGGCAGGAGGTGATATCAGATCTGCCGGGCGTCTCGATCGATTTCGGCAGGCCCCATCCGATCGGTGGATCGGTGAGTAGGCCGACGAGGCTCCCTCTCCGAATCCTAGACCCGTCCACGGTATGGGCTGATCAAGTCAGAAGTGGCCAGCTTGCGGAGATGATCTGACTCCTTGCTGTCGATTTTGAGAAATCAACGTGATAGAACTGTCGGTGGTGCATTTGCTGTTATGGGCATTTTTTGAAACTATATATTGCTGTCCAGGTTGGTACTATGGTGTTGATATTGGTGCTGCCATGCCAAAAGCTTATATAAGTGGATTCCCCCAAAGATGCGCTTGAAGAGGAAGACTAGACTAAAACCGGTCTCCCCATTCTAATGCACAGTGATGTTTCTGATGATATGTCTCAAGTTGTGGCCGTGTGCTGGTTGTTTCTGGTGCAATGCTTCTCCCCAATCCTGATTATTGCAATTCTGATCCCTTGGAGACACTCGTATGAAAAACATGAAGCATGCAAGATGCCCGGTGCGCATATCTTCAATGACAGCAGTAGAAAAAGAGATTGCGGCCAGTTGGCACTCGCATTGAGTATTGTCGCAGGCCCACAATGATTGGGACAAGAAACACGCGGCAGCCAAAGAGAAGAAGGCCTTGAGCAGATGCAAACTGACCGTGCAAAACATTCAGGTTCGTGTCGATGACTCTTGAGTGCTGTGCCACTCGTTTTTCGGCCAGCGCCGCCAACGTGCTGACAAAGCGGCCCGTGCTGCCGGTGGCGGGGACTGTACCTTCGAAGTCGTTTGGAGTTGATGTGCTCCGTGCTTTTGCAGAGAGGGTTGTTTTGGGTTCGATTTCTGCGACTGACTTTGGTTTCAAACATGCAGCTTCAGGAAGCTCTGCTGGGTACTGCTGGGAGCTTCCTGTAGGTTTCCCGGCTTTCATGCGGGAAGGTGTTTGTGAGCTTCCAACAAAAGGTTGTGGTAGAATACCAGAGGTTCCCATCCAGCTGGAACAGGCAAACAGGCAGTGTTTTCTTCGTGCTTGCACCCATGCAAAAAGCACACCGCCGAGTAGCAGGACAAAAAGGAGGATCAGCTAGCAGCTAACTGTAAGACTGGCTACCAAGTGTAAACTTGTAAACAAGACAGTATTTCTCTTGTCGCCAGTGGTGCTTAGCTCGTGGCACAGCACGACCTTCGTGCTTGGGGGTCCGATGGGGTCCGTCTGTCCTGGCGTCCCATGTGGGGACCGGGCCCGTCCGGTGCACCGCGCGGATCGCAGGACTTGGCCGCTGGAGGCGCCGTCGCGGCGCCTGCGTCGCCCCGTCTCGGAAAACGAAGGCACCGGGCGGCATCGACCTTGGACAGGTGCCAAAGTGAAGTTGGCGGAGAACGCCAAAGCCAAGGCGGCCCGCAAAAGAGAAGGTGCGGACGGCTGCGGTTTTTGGGTGACGATCGTTGGATTTGAGCCACGGCATGTCCCAAGACTAACGGATCCAGGCGAAGATCCTCGTGCCAAACGGAAAGCCTCGACCCCAGAGTTCGGGCGCGACTCCGGGACTCCACCGGCCCGATGTGTCGGGTGTTGCAACGGGGCCCCACGGTGTTGGACCTTTTTTCGCGGTGAGGACGCCCCACGGTGTTGGGTTCGCATTGAGACCGGTCCACGCTTTCGATCCAAGGGCGCGGATGCTCACTTTGGCAATGCCAGAGCATTGGCCGCCAAGGAGCAGGCCGGCTGAAAAACGCTCGTCTGAACGAACGAACACTCGTCTGACCGGCTTTCGTCGGTGCCAAGTCCTCACACCAGGCCCTTGGAAAGGCAGACCAAGCGGCTGATTCACAGAAGTTCCTCTGCTGGAAGAAGCCAAGACCAAACAAGATGACATAGTCAAAGGATTCATACAAAATACATACATGTTATTTGTCTATTCTTATCATAACAAAATATGATCAATCAATTGAATCCCATTCGAATCGTTGCAACGGTTACGTCTTCGAACCGAGCTGCCCGTGCCCTTGATCTTCGACTTGTCCAGGTCGGCTCGCGGGAATTCCGCCGCAGTGAGGAGCTCGGTCGTAAGGCCTGCAGCAGCGCATGAGGATGAAGATCATGAGGATGAAGATGGAGATGGACATGGAGCTGGTGGAAACCAAGGAACCCTGGAGACCGCAGTGGTCTCCAATGCACCTGTTCGGATGGCAGATGAGGAGGTTGATGAAGATGCTGGTGATGAGGAGGATGCAGAGCCAGATGTTGAGGGAGAAGAACCAGAGGCAGCTGAGAGAGAAGTTGAAGATGCAGAAGAGGATGCGGAGGCCAAGGATGCAGGAGTGGCCGAGGCTGAGGCTACCCCAGTGGAACCAGAGGAGACTGCATTGCAGCGATTTATCAACGGTTTGCCATTCAGCAGCTTTAACTCAGATTCTTGCCTGCCTGCCAGGAAGATGGGAAAAAGGACCTTGACCCTGCAGACAACGGCGCTTGATTCAGATTGTCTCCATGATGACACTCTGCAGCCTTTCTCTGCTGTGTCCGATTTTAGGTGTCGAACGTGAAGAGGCAGTCTCCCAAGTTGATCTGCAAGGCTTTTTCCATTCATCTCTAGCAAAACGCATGGCCACATGGTCTTTGGCCCAAGGAGACATGAGGAAAGACCATGGTCCTTCAAGCCTCCTTCAGAGGCGGCATCGTTCACGATGCGTGGTTTCACTCGACCGTTCGGAATCCGAAGCTTCGGTCGTTCCGTTCGTAGCGATGGCCTCCACGGCTCGGGGGGTCGGACGAGCGAGGCCGGCGGCCGACCGGTGCCAGCTGCTTGGCCAACGTGCCGAGCGGAGCGGAGCGGCGCCAGCTGAACGGATTTGGAGAAGGAAAGACTTGAGGCAAAAGGACGCAAGCATTGGTTTGGGAGGGTGAAAGTTGCTGTGCAACTGTGGTCAATGCAAAATTCTTGTGATGAATGGGAGCAGCCGAAGCATGCATGAAGCTCGCGTGAAGCACGCATGAAGTACATAAGAAGCACGCATGAAGCACGCATAAAGCATACAATCAATGTGAAAAAAATCCACCAATATCCACCTTTTTCTTTTATTTTTTGAAGCATGAGTTCCACCACCGACAACTCTGGCGATCTGAGGCTCGATGAACCGGATACTATATATAGTTATTGCTTGTCGTTGGACAGCCTCAAGATTGGAGCGAATCCAGCCATTTCCCTCCATGAAGTAACCAAGAGAACTCTCAATGCTGCCAGCTGGACACCTTTGGCCATGGCAGCCTTTGAAGCTGAAACCTTTGAGGAGGGGTCAAGTGACTCAAGTGACGGAAGATCAAGAAAAACCAATGCCCATCACAAGTTTGCATTCTCCATTTTCTTTGCATGTTTGGCCCTCGCACATGGGTGCGTGTGAGATTTTCAAGGGAGACCCCCGGTTCGACTCCCTGGAAGAAACATAGAGCAAAGCCCATTGGGCAGCCAGGGGGGTCTCTCTCTCTCTCTAACATGGAAGTTGATTTTTGGATCACCGACCACTGGATACGGTGTCCTTGATGGACATATGATGGCTATGTTTGACGCCCAAGTGCCTGGGATGGATGTGGCGTCAGGCAGGTGTTGCCTGGCTGCTGCCCTGTGTTGAATCATGCAGTGAAAAGAGTGTTTGGATGACAGGAACAGAGCCTGTTGCTACCAGAGTTACAGGGTATTCTCGCGTCAAAGCAGAGGTCAAATGTGCTCGATTTACATGCACAAACATGGACTGACCACCTTGTGGCCCTGAGTGATGAGGACTTGCACAGACTTGTCGCACAGCTGATCAGTGGGCATCATGTACCAGAACAAGAGGCGTTTTCTCCGAGAGAGCTGTGAGTCTTGAGCTCGAGAGCGGTGAAATGGCGGTGAAAGGGTGAAGAAAAAGGTGCTGTTTACCAAAGGTGCTGAATAATCAGGCGCTTTGGATTCAATTCAGGCCCAAGTATCTCTCTTCCAATCTGGATGTCAGGCCTTTGAGCAGTTTCGAAGATGCAAAGATGCGTGATACTGAGAGAAAGCCCACACGTTTGCTTCCAAGAGGCTGTCCCGTCGGGTGTCGTAGCTTTGGGTCAATGAGCCCACAGTTCCTTTGGGACAACATCAAGTTAGTTCACACTTCAAGCACTCAGACTCAGACACCTTCACAGATTTGTTCATATAATGGTCAGTTCGCAGCTCATTCGCTTCCATCTTTCCACATTTAAGGCTTTGTCCAAGCCCTTTACCTTTCGATGCCGGGAGGACTGTGCTTGCTCCGGCTTGTTCCGGTGGCTGCCGGGCATTCTGAACGCTTTTCCTTCGCCCTGCTGTGCCCCAGGACACCATGGACCTGCCAAGCCTGGCCAGATACGCCATGGCGGAAAGGTGGGGAGTTCGTGGTCCAACTCGCACGGAGTGACCGCCACCGCTTGGAGAGACGATAGGCCCAGACTGGCGACAGAGCCTTTGGTGAAGATTGTGGATGAGGCAGTAGGGTGTCTTTTCTTTGCCCGGAAATGGTATGCTTGTTTAAGCTTCTCTAGCAAAAGAGCACAGTGCCCGCCCTTTGTCTTCCAGTTGATCCCAGTCCGAGTGCATAAACTTCATTGAGTTTTCAATAGATGGACAGTCCTCAAATCTTGCTGGTGAGATTTCCTGCTGACATGTTTGCAGTACACCGAATTGATTTCGGACATTTCAGACAGATTTGTAAAAAATCACTGCGCTGCCTGGGAGGTCAGTCGAACACTCCGATTGCACCAGAGCGATTGCTGCGCGCTGGGCCCTTGATTGTTCCTCTTGGGCCGTCTTGCCCTTGTTACTAGTAGCGTTGCCCTTGTTACTAGTAGCGTCTTTGCTACTAGTAAACCTTTTTGCGTTTTGAGATGCGCTGTAAGGCTAGTGGAGCGAGCCTTAGGTTTGGGTGTTGGACTACAGGAGGCCCATGCATTCTTTTTCCGCGAGACTACTGCGAGACTACTGATTCTGTTCCCTCTGCAGCTTATCCGATGCTTCCTTTTTGAATGGATGCTGGTTTTTCCGTGCCTCTTTTTGCAGGTGTCTCGCAAATGTGCGGCGATCTACTACCGCGAATGCCATTTCCAGGTAGGGCTAAGGTCGATCGTTTCGCAAAAAAACACAACAACACAAAAAAGACACCTAGACACACCCAAAACACATCGTTTCGAGAACAACAAAAACTACACGGGCACACACATCATATATAAAGAAATATAGACAACACACGTTTTGGGGGTCGTTTCATGTCGAGGCACTGTGCCTGCACGACATGAGTCAGGGATTGGTCCGGGACCCCGGAATCGTCTTCGACGATTTGGTCGCCGTAAGCGACCCAAATTGGAGGCTCGTCATGCTCCCCAGAGGACGAGCGTGGCTTTCTTTGGTCTCCTAGGAGGCGGGAGAAAGAGGAAAGAGACACCGGACAAATGCCTCCTGCCAGAATTTCGGGCACTGTTTGGTGTTCTTTTTTTTCTTCGTTTTTCCAGGAAAGCGGTGTATTGCTGGTCTCTTCGAAGCTCTTGGCTTGCTCCTGCGCGACCTGACGGGAGAGCGAGCTGGAGCCACTGAGCTGGAGCTGGAGTGGATAGCGCTTCGCTGCGTCTTCTGGTTCAGCGGAAGAATCGTGGAGTGAATGGGTTCAGCCAAGGATCAGGTGTTTTTGCTACATGCTGGAACAATGATCCAGCTTCTCGCTGGAACCTTGGTCTTCGGCGGTGAAGTCGGATTCAGCGGTCGTTGATGTCATTTCTTGTCGCTGTGAGGTGGAGACCCTGCTGGCGTACTTTACCGCTTTCCAGGCGACTCTGGAGGAGGCGGAGCTAGTGCTCTCTTTGCTTCCTCATGTGGTGGGCCGCCTCAGTCCAACGGTTTGGTCAAACGGCCGTTGGAGTCGACGTCCGAACTCAGTGAGTTTCTCTCAGGTGACTTCACAGCATGCTCCGATTGGGCAAGGTTTCACGGTGTCTGACCTGGACCTGGTCCTACGCGAGGAGATGCCATCTTTCAAACCGGACAGAGGCCGGAAGCCGATGTTTTGGATGATTTGTGAGGAGCACAATGACGTAAGCATCAAGTGTACTCCTCAGCCATAACCACACCGTTCCTTTTTGGACCAACGAGATGGGTGACACATGGTGGCTGTCTTCAGCGATTCTTAGGCTTTGCTTGGTGCTGATCTGCATGTGCTACACACAGGCTGCACCCTGAAAACGCAGCTATGAGTGTTGACATGTACATGTTACCTGGATAGATGTGATTCTGACATATTCTGAATATCTCTGAACTGTGCGGCTTTTCTTTACCCAAGCCAACGAGCGGCACGTCACCCGCCGAGCTGCGCAGGGTGAATTGAAGCTCGACCCAGCCAAGCTGCGGGAGGATGTGCTCCCTTCGAAGATTCGGCTGCAGGAGATTTTCCCGGTTCGACACCGCAGATGGAACATGTGTTCCAAGGATAGGCCATGGCTAGGCATGGAACCAGAAGGGATGCTTGCTTTTCCTTTTTTTTTCCTGGAACAACAAACCCTTCATTCCCAGACTCATGTGGTGCATCCACAGCAGTTCTTTCTTGTCTGTTGCCGCAGCTACCAGTTCTTAAACAACTCTCCGTTGCGTCACCAGGAACTCTCTGCGACCGACGGGAACCTGCTTTCCGGATCCTTTGGTCGAAGAACCCAGTCTGGTGGTGATTGGGCAGGTCCACCCAGCTCGACCCAGCACGACCCAGCACGAGTTCTCCAAACCCGAACCGACGTGCGGAAGAACAGACCCGAGGATGTTGCGGAGGACCAGCCGAGGATTGTTGCTAAGACATCGACATACAAACCCGATACCAAACATTGAAATGCAACTCGCTCTCATACAGATGGTCGGTACCAGGCTTCCTCGTCGGTCAGAGGAACAGAGACGTCCCGGAACGTGACAGCAACGTGTTCAGACTTGCGAAGCAACGTGTCCTTCGTTCAGCGGAACATCATGGCTCCATGGCTCCGGTCGCTGCTTGGACTCCCCGAAGCGAAATGGCACCACTCACTCTGACTGCGCTGTGGGCTGTCGGAGCCGGGCATGTCGGGACGAACACGAAATGAAGGCCATGTAGGCGAACGCCGTGACGGAACGCCCGTTCTTTTTGTGGCGCAGTCCAAGACAGGAATCCGGAACGCCAATGACAAAGGCTCAAGACACAGGCTCTCTGACCACCAACCCAAGCCAATGACACGTGATGACATCACATGGGCAGATAATTCATGTCTTTGGAAAAGGGCATGTATCTGATGTTTGTGGCTGAGTGCCTTTAGCAAAACAAAGGAACCGAGTTAGCCGAGACAATCTTCCAAAGTCAGAATCACCAAACCCAAATAGAAAGCGCCACCAAGGTCATCCCCTTTGGCAAAAAATGCAGAAACCAAAGAAAGGTGTGACCTGCGTTCTTTTGCCCTTGGGACAGACGAACGATCGAAACATATCAAGCGCATTAGCGCAGATCAGCAAACCAAGTGAGCACATCTCTTCAAGAGCAGGACATGACCAATCCTCAGACCAGATTGCGATCTATCTCATTGTGAAACACCACATGAACAAATCCTTGCTCGTCTGGGGTTCGTAGTCTCTCAACCAACCAGGAGATCTTTCTTTTGAGCCACAGACGCTGGAAGCTTCTGAGAGAAGATTTTGCATCTTATTTGTCGTAGCCCACTCACCAGGTAAGAATGAACCTGCCACTTCTACACTATCACCAGTTAAGCATTTCTCGGGCAACATGTGTTGCTTTTCACGTGTCAAGTCAATACATGGGCAATGTGCCTGCCCTTTGTCTTCAGGTCAGAAGCTGCGAGCAGGTAGCTATTGGAATGAAGAAAGCCAGCTAGGCCCTGGACTGAGTGCTGATGGGAAGCAGTTTTTTGATGCTTTTCTTGCTCTGCCGTCTCAAACCTTTAAAACGTTGCATTCGAAAGCTAAGGCCAATTTCTTTGCTTTGCCATCAGCGGCGTCCTTCTGGAAGATGTCTCCTGGCAACAACATGAACCTACCGTGCTGGTCGTGCTTCTCGTCGCTCGGGCGGGGTCTTGAAGGGAGTCGGGGCTGAGGATCATGCGCTTCGGGGAGGATACGTTCGATGGCACATTTTCCACTTTTTGCTGCAAGAGGCGCAGTGTGCGAGGACGAAAAGGGAAAAAACAAGGAAAAGGGGAAAAGGGAGGAAAACAGGGAACATGGGAGAGAAGAGAAAAGACAAGGATTGGCAAAGTCCATGAGTAGCATTCGTGAAATCTAACTTGACGCTCGCTTTCTTACCTGAAGCTCTCAGCCAGGTTCTGATGTCAGGTGTTGCTGTGCCAGACACGTGCCGGGGTCCTCAAAATTCGCATTGAAGCCAGGGTCAGATTCTAGATTCTAGAGAAAAAAACATGTACACCTGGTACACCTACCAGCTTCTTCAGTTCCTGACCTTTTGAAGGTTCCTTTTCGTGACCCTACTCGGAGGCTTGTTCGTGACCGAACCAACCAGGTTATCAAAAGGTCACTTTGAAGAACCAGGTATACTATCTTAATTGGCGAACCATTTTCGCTGTAGAACATTGAAAGCAGTTGCTACATGCTGAGGCTCTGGTGCGCTGGTGTTGCGCTGCCTGAATGAGCTTCTGCAGCGGGCCTTGCTTCCTGCCAGAATCTCAATAGTGGTTTGCCAAGCGACGTGGCCATGCTGAATGAATGCATCTAAAAGAGACCCTTGGGGTGCCAGTGCCATCTCCTCTGAAAACCCTTTAGTCCATTTCCCTACAGCTTGATCACAACCTTGGCTTGTAGGTGGGAAGACGCTGGACGGCGATCAAGAAGCTTGAAGCGTCGCGGGGCCGAGCAGTCGGAGGTTGTCGAAGCAGTTTTCGAAGCCGGTCGGGAAAAGGGTGCGAGTGGAAGCCGCCGAGGCAAGCTGTGTCAATGCGCTTGCTTGCCGCAGATTCTTTACAGATCTCTGCGCTCCAAGTGCTGCTTGGTTCTTAGATCCTTAGGTCGCACTCTTAGGGCAAGGTTTGACCTGAGAATGGACAGACAGACCCCCTCCTTCCTGCCAGGAATCGCTTGTGCCGGGTTCATCCTCAAGCCTGCGAAGCCTTCCGCGACGTGGCGTTACAATGCACGGATTCGTTTCATTTGTCCAGACCTAAGAGACCCTCCCGCCGCTCCGGCCTGGTCGGCAGCGAAAACACTGTGTTCTCCTTCTCCTAGGTCACACCGTCAATCCTCGGGAGCCTTCAACCCGTGGTGCTGGCCTGAGCCCCTTAGGCCGCCTTAGGCTAGCTGGTCCTACGGCCATTTGTTGCCTTTCCTTTTGAAAGCTCACGTACATGGATTCCATTTGGGGCTGTTTTTTTTTGTTTCTCTTGTCGTGACGGGTGACGAACGCAAAGGAGCTCTGGTGCTGAGGGAGATCGCTGGGCTCTTAAGCGCCACCGTTTTGCTTTTCTACCGCCGTGCCGTAGTTTGGCACACTTGACAGAAGGTGGCTTCAATGTCCTGGCCCCGACCGGAGGCTGGAGCTTTTGGGGCTCTCAAACTCTGTCATGCTCATGGTTCATGAAGATCCACCTCGACACTTTCAATTCACCGTGTCAGCAAATAATGACTTGTAGGGCACACAGAAGTAAAATCTGCTCAACAGGGATGCAAAGTTGTATCAAGTCCGTCTCCTTGGGCTCATTGTTGTTTCAATCACTTGAGTGTGGAACTGCAAGAAGTATATTTAGAAACTCTTTTTTCAATGAATCATATGCAGGGCAAGACAGAATGGAATGTGTCCCTAAAAGGTAAGGCCTGTGATAGAGAGAAGCTTATGTGCACTGATTATTTTCTAGTGACTCCTATATCAATCTTTGAGCGGTCATTGAACATTCTGACATGTTTTGAATTGACTCGTCGGCCTACTCTTGTTGGCGAAGTCGGGTACTTCCGAGTTGCAGTGCTGTTCCGGGGCGGTTTTGTGGTGGGGCTGGACTCTGGACATACATCGAAAAGGAACACCATGGTCATGACTCATGGCATTGGGTAGTGGCATTTTCGACTCAAGCCACCTCGCAATCCACGGCGAGTTGGTCAGGAAATGGCAATGCCTTCAATGTCTTGGCCCCTGGGGGATCACTTCAGGTGCTGCAGACCCTTTTGACGCCCAAACCGCACAGACCAAAACGCGCGGTGCGCGTTTCGGACCCAAACGCCGCGCGGTGCTTCCTTTTGCGGGGTCTTTTTCGTCGCGTCTGGAGGACTCCAGGGTTCCTGGTGCTGGACGCCATGTGTTGCCAGCTGGTTTATAGCCATTCCAGCTTGGAGAGAGACCAGACCTCACCCAGCTGTTTGATGAGAGGATAACACAATGCTCTATGCGGAGATTCTGGACCTGGTGGCGACCATTTGCTCTCGAGGGCCCGCTAAACACCTTGCACTGAGTGAACACTTTTGTTCGATGAGTCGCTCTTTGTTCCGTGAGCAACACAGCAGCTAAGCAGGTCTTTGCAAAACGCAAGCCTCGTGTGCCAAAAGATTCTGTGTTGCACTCAGTTTGTTTTCTTGGGTCTGTTGATGTCTGTTGTGTCTTCTCTTTTCATTTCTACCTGATAACCAGGTCACACAGCAACCAGTGGTTCAACTGGAGCTTTGTCTTGGATGCCCTCATGCAGCAGGAGAGGCTTTTTGCGTGGCCTGGAGCGTTAACACGCGTGGTTTTCAGCCCAGGCGCGAGCGCCACCCCCGCATGGGGGATCTTCCTTCTCTGCTTCTGATGCAGTGACCCTTGCACTTTGTCATTCTGGCGAGTTTGTTCTCCACGCCATGGTCTGAAGGGATGAAGCCGGGCTTCAACGTGTTACCGACCGACATTCTTCAAACCGACTGTGGTTGGAACTTCACCGTCCCCTCCGTACCGTTGACGATCTCAACTTCCACCGTCGACCGCTTCCTTCTTCGTTCTGTGTCACGTGTGTCCTTGATCTTTTCACGACTAGTCTGCGCAGATTTCGATATCGTTCTTCAGCCCAATTACAATGTCTGCATGTTTCTTCCTCGAACTGCTTCAATCTCCAGTTCGCCCTTGTCACAGAGTTTCTACCTCACACTTTGATTGAGAGCGGAATGTCCTCCTGAGTCCTCCTGGCTTGCCCTCTTGTCATACCTGTGCTCTTTTTGAAAGATTCTTGTCAAGTTCTCCTGACAAATTGATTTGCACACTTCCTTTTAACCCGACCAAGCTTTTGCATACAGAAGACAGCGTTGGTGTAACTATCCGTTTTGGGAACACCCGAACCACCAATTGGGAATAGACTTGTTTGAAGGCTTTAGCCCACATCAAAATCTGCTTTCGGGACATGTCTCCTCACCGTAAAACAATTGGCCAGGTCGATTGGTTTCGGGTGCCTGTGGAAGCAGACTCCTCGCCCAAGACTGAAGTTCGCCGGAGGACGGTGAAAAATATTCCGCCCTTTTTTCCTCATGAAAGTCATGCTGAGGTTGTCCAGCCAACAGTGCAGCCGATCGCTCAAAGCCTCAACTCAGGCTCGCTGATCGTTGCTGGAAGCGACAGCGTGTTGCGAAGATCCTAGGATCGTAGGGTCCTGCCCTAAGAATCCTTGTGTCAGGGGTCTGCACCCTCAAAACCCTATGGGTTTGAGCTCGGAATCTTAGGCTAGATTCGGCTAGATCCCCCATGTGGAACATCTCGAACTGGACATCTCGAGAATCCTTCCCACCTCTTGAGAACCAAAAGACCTTGGTCGGGTCGTGAATACGGTGCACCCGGCATGGGCGGCGTCAAAATCCATCCATTCGCCTCTCCTCAGCACGGGCACCACGCGGACCTCTGAGTTTGCAAGGCATGGCCTCATCGATGGGCGATCCATGGGGACGTGCGGAAAATATTGGAAACCTCTTGGCGCCTGGGCGACACGAATGACCTGTGGAGGTCACCATGAGGTCACAGAGGTCATGAGGTGAGGTATCCCATGAGACTCGGAGTGGAGCGACGAGAACGAGGAAAAAGCGGGTCTTTTGGTTGACAGTGAGTCAAAAGGTAGACAGACCAGGCAAATTTGGTAAACATCGGATTACGCAAACTGCTTTATTCTTTTGGAGCCTGAAATACAACTGTAGAGGTGCGGGGCCTTTATGTGGGCCACTGAAAGGCTGAAAGACATAGTTTCTCTTCAGGTTGAGCTGCTCACAACACACCCGGAACCTTCCATTAAAGCTGCATGCCTTGGAGCGTGGAAGACTCAGCAATGCCCAAGATTCCATCCGTTTTGCTTTTCAAAACTTGGCCAATCTGCTTGGCCTCTTCTGAAGCTTTGAGCAACCTTAAAGGTCCAGGAGTCCAGAACCTGTGGCTTGGCCCACCGCCCGCATGTCTTTGAGGCTCGGAAACTTGGATTTGCCGCCCCCGCAAGTCCGAGCCTTAGAGGGCCTTCAAAGCCGAGGAGGGGAGGCAAGCTGGGATGTCGCCTCGCGTTAGGGGTCCCTCCTTGACCCTCGCTTGGTTTGAAATCCATGACTCCGTAGCCTTCCTATTTGGGCAGGTGAGCAGGATGATCCTATCCTCAGTTCTGGCAGCAGTGCCAAGCCTGGTGCCCTTCCTAGAGCAGCCCAAAGCCTGCGTCAGAGCCTCAATGGTGCCTGGTTCCCCGAAACAGACACTCACAGTCAAGAGGCCTTGGGCGACTCCACCACTGGACCGTCGAAAGAAACAAGTCGCCACCCCAGGACGGGGCGGTAGCAATTGAATTGCTCGCCTGCACCCTCCGATTTCTACAGGCCCGGGAACGGCGCACCGGGGGGCCCATGGGGGCCACGGGCGAACCGTGTGTCCAGATCGAACCTTCGGCCTTCACCAGGGCAACCAGATCGATGACCTGCTAGGTGCAACAACAAAAACACCGATGGCCTGCTCGAATGGCCCAGACTCGGTTCAAGATCAACCCCGAGATCATGAGTGCTTTTCAACTGGGAGCCGAGATCGAACCCGAAATGGGGCGGACCACGACACGGGCGACGGACCACGGTTCCCCAGCGCGGGGTTCCTGCAGGCGGTGCCCATCAACAAAGGCCGCTATGCCTTGGACTTGCAGCCCTTCACACATGTGGTGATACACCAGGCCCGGCTCGGACCGTCAATGAGAACAGATTTTCCAAGAATGAGAACAGACGTTCCATGATCTTCCAAGCTTTGCTTCAGTCAAGAATTGGATGCAATAGCTTTCTTCGAGTGATTCTAGAGTTGCAGGTGCTATTGAAGACTTTGGCCGAGCCATCTGCTTTCAGCAGTGCTCGGTATTGGCGACTGGCAGTACGGTTCTCGACAGATCAATCGCTGGATGTGTGCTGTCATGAGAAAGCACTTGCACTTTGCCATCGAATCAAGGCTTTGACTCTGCGATGGCTACGGCTTGTACTGTTGGAGTCTCTGGTTTGCCTTTGACATTGAAACGGTCTCTGATCTAGTCAGCTTGTTTGCTTGGCAACAAAAGCCAGCTCACCTAGCTAAGACCTGGTGAGCTCCAAAACTCCACAAAACACTCCCTGAAATCATCACAGAATTGGAGTGAATTCACCGCCTGGACCTTGGTCATGAAAACGTCGACTCGCGGCCATAGAGTGTTCTCAGCTTGAGAAACGGAAGAAGAGATCCGTGCGGCTTCTTGAGGGAGGGTATATGTGTTTTGGGATTGTTTTTCTTTTTTTCATTAATTTGGTATTATATTATGTTTTGATAGCTTTTGCCTTTGCTTTTGGTGGTTTCTGTTGACTTTTGGTGGCTTGTGTTGGCTTTTGGCTTCTGTTGGCTTTTGGCTTTTGGTGGCTTCTGTTGGTGGCTTCGGTTGCTTTTGGTGGCTTGTGTTGGCTTTTGGCTTTTGTTGGCTATTTGTGGTTTCTGTTGACTTTTGGTGGCTTCGGTTGGCTTTTGGTGGCTTGCGTTGGCCTTGGGCTTTTTCACTGTTGCACGGAACGTGATATACCCAAGACATATCAAGATATGATGGTTGTTCTCTTCTATTGTATCCTGGTCACTGCACTTTCTGACTAAAGAATCCAAGAGTTGGCAACGATCGTGCTTGCATTGGTTGTGGCTTTGGCCAACCCCGGCTGACCATTTCAGCCTTTGTTCTGCTGTGATGGGTGGATGTTACATCAGAGGAATGCGAAGTCCCAGGCACAGCTACCAGGTGTAAGAAGGTATTGGTTTTATCCAGATGATTGCAACCTTGTCCTTTTCCTTTTCCCTGTCCTTTTCCATTTGTTTGCCCTTTGCTTGTCCTTTTTCTTTTTCCTTTTCCCTTTCCCTTTTTTGAGACAGCAGCCAAGAGCAAGAAAAAACATACCAGATTAAATAAACATAAACTACTAATTCCAAAATATAATCTGAACCCCTTCTTGAGGCGAGGACCTTTGCCGATGAGTAGCTCTGCGGCCTTGAACACCTTGATTGTGAGGCGCCTCCTTTCGGGGTCTGGGACGGTCACCCCGAGCCTCAGCTGGGCAGATTCGGACGTGGACATGGCACGTGGACATGGCAAAAGGACGTGTTTTTTTGGAAGAATCCACAGCCAAAAAGATGCCAAAAGCTTCTTTTAAGCTGAGAATTCAGCTCCAATGAGGGAAAGGGGGAGCAAGAGGCAGGCCCAGACAGGGAAGTATGTATCTCAAAACAGCTGGACGAGACTTGGTTCCCAGTAGCCTGAAAAGGAGAACCGTTCTTGGGTTGTCATGTAGTTTGCTCGGATTTGCTCCAGCATCCATCGAAGGTCAAGCATTTCCGTTCGACCTTCCTTCCTGAGACAACGCCCATGGCGTCTCAACGGGCCCCTCACCGTCCGTCCCCTCCCGTACGATCCAGGCCCTACAGCGACAGCGAGGCGACGGCCGCCGAAGTCTATGGGCCTCGGGCCGAGGAGTCCCGAGGAGTCGGGGGTCGACCCGGCGGAGCGGAGCGCGACGCCCAGGCGATGTGCTGCAGGAAATGCCACGGCATATGCCTTTCGGTGGGGGTCCTTAAGACAGGGTCCCGACCAGGTCCATCGGGTCCATCCGGTGTTGGACATGTGTCGACTTCTTTTTTGGGCAAGTGTGACTGACCAGTGTTCCCGCGAGGTGCCTTCTGAGCCTGGACTCTCCAGTGTTTGCCCGCGTGTGGTGTTGGCATGTTTTTGGATGAATCTGAGACATGGTCGAATCTGCTGGAAAGTCGTGCAGAAATCGGAAATCTGACCCTTCATGGCTTTTCTCTGACAGGCTGAATCTGACCCTTCTGCAGGGCCGCAGCGTCGATGGGTCCGGCACCTACCGCGTTGATGGACCGACCGCGATAGATCGCGCGGAGCTGAAGGGTGAACTTCTCGAGGCTGGCAAATCGACGAAAGGGAGGTGCAGCGTATCCCTACATGGAACAGTGTGCTCTCTATGGCTTGGATGTAGTGCGAGGCTGAGATCAACCCGACGTTTTTTTTCTTTTTTCAGCCGGTGGGGTGGGACTCCAAAATTCTTGCCCTCAGTCTGCACCTTGATGCATGTTCAGTATGAATTGATGTGAACGATTTTTTTCACCTTGTTCAGCGAACCATGCGTTTGCAGTTTGCCAGGCAAACGTCAGGTACCACGCAGCTTTTTCTCATGCTTCAACTCATTAAGACATCGTTTAAACATGTTCAAAATCCATTTTAAAGCACAGCTCTTTCGGCTTTCTTAAGCGCTTCAAGGTCCGACTCCTTCTGCAGCGGGATATCGTCTTCTCCCGGTTGCATGCGCAGCATGCATCTGAACGAGCCGGCAGTTGGGGCACTGCAAGCCTTCAGGATGGGCCTGCATCTGTGGCTGTGGATGAGCAGTCTTGAGTCAGAAAGATGTTCCTGCCGCAGGATGGACCTGTCTTGCCAACTCACCGACTTCTGTTGGCAGAGTTTGCATTTACATATCCACCTCCTGATATTGGCGCAGGCTGGACGGGCCCCCACTTTCTTGTCTTTTCCTTCTTAGCATCTCTCAACCATGGGAAAGCAGTCTTTTGTCTTCAGGCCGCGGCAATTCGTACAGCAGCTACAACCCCTTCTGGTCACATAGGCCTGCCATGCACTGAAGAAACACAGCGGTTCGAAGCTGCAGACGGACCGGGTTCAGTCAGGCCACGCATGGAGACGGAAGCGTTCGATGTGCCGCCCTTAGCAGTTTTTACACGTTCGTTTGGAGTGACCAGGAGAAACATCTTTTGTGGGATACATTACCGTATATCAACTAGCTGTGTCATACCTGGACACCACCAACAAAAACAAGAGACGACAAGCAAGCCAAACACCAGCTTTAACTCCACAGCAACAGGCCGCGCATGGATCGAACGGGTTGTTGGGACACCGCGTCCCCCCGCAATCAACACCTTGTCTGCTTCCTGTTTTCGCGCACCGCGGCGCACCGCGCACCTGGGGGGACCTCCAACAGGCTCAAAGTGGACATCGCCACAACCCGAGCTACCTGGCCTTACTCTCGGAGTTTCTTTGTGCACGTCGGCGGCCTCAGGGGTGAACCACGAAGGGTGAACGGAGAACGTCTGATTGTCAGCCAATCAGACCCGATCCCAAAAAAGGAAAAAAACACCAAGAATGGAAGAACCAAACCTGAACGTTTTTTTTCCCATTTTTTCCCGGGATCAGGTCTACATCATGGAGTTGGTCGATTGGCACTTTATGTCTTCATGCAATGCGCTTTCCGTGAGCCGCAGAGGGTGCCCCACCCGCCATGGGGTTGAACCGCGGTGGGTGCCGGGACCGGAAGTTCGAAGCCGGGACCGGAACATGAGTCGCATGGTTCGAAGGAACACGACCGGACTTGGGACTCCACCTGCCGGACTTGGCAGGTGTTGCGACTGCTTCAGCTGGAGTGTCTTGTCTGCAGCTGGAGAGAACAGCAGCTGAAAGACTCCCGCCATCTGAACAACTCCCAGGCCATGGCGACTGCAAGCCATCAGTACAGCGATACATGACAAGATCGTGCAGCCCGGGGTCTCATTGAAATTTATGAACCAAGGGCTTGAGACTGGAGAGTCTCCACCAAGGCTGGATACCGAGGAGGCCACCGAAGAAGTAGGAGCTGCAGCAAAGTCTCAAGGCATCATGAAAGCCGTGCTTTCGTTTTCGTGGTTTTCTTTTGCCGGACTTGTTATGTCACTTGAAGAGTTCTTGTGCTTTTGCATACCTCTTACCCTCCACCTTTGCATGTGTTTGCATCATTCCATATCTTTTTGTTCCCATCCTCCTCTGCAGATGAATGACTCATGTTGCTCCCCACCCAATTCTTTCCGCTGCCTTGCCACGGAGGAACCACTTGGGACAAGCACAGTGAAGCATGCTTCGCTCATGAGGTCGGCAATCTGACGGCGAAACCATTGTGACTTCTATCTTTTGCAGATGCACAAGAACCTAAGGACGAGTCATCATGGGGTAGGATTTCCTGCAGGAAAACCGCGTAGACTCCCCAAGTGAGACCACCGAGGGGCGTGGCGTGTCTTCGCGCCAACCGCCCCACGGGCGCGCTCCCATCGATCGCCAGGCGATGGAGATCGATGCGTCCCCAGACGGCCTCAGCCATTTGGACATGGCTTCCTTTGAGACCTCCTTGCCAATCTGCCGTTCAGCCAGCGCCCGAGCCAATCCCCTCCAAATCCCTGCCTTTGAGGTTGACTGTTTGTCCGACCCAGCACTTTGGTGATTCTCCAAAGGTTTTGAGGGACACCAAGATACCAACACTTTGAAGAGGTTTCACAATCCACGACTTGTTGGTTTTTTTGAATGAATCAAGAGTCAAGTCCCTCGTCCTCGGCGCGGCGTTGAACAAAACCAGATGCTTCAGCGACGTCTAGAAGACGCGGCCCAGGTTGACCTCTTGCAACAGCTGGCGGAGGATTCCGTGGTTCAGGCTGTGGCCTCTGGCAGCAGACATCGCATGCCTTTCTCTACAAAAGACCGGTAATTAGATTGAGATCCCTGATAGAGATTTAGAATGATAGACACATCTTGGATAATTCTAGAGGTTGATGAGGGATTTCCTGGATTTGATGCATGGTTTCCTTTTTCGAAGGTCCACGGTCCAGGTCAACCCAGGCCGCGGACATGCATCCCCACCAGGCCGCGGACATGGCCGTTTGGGCCCGTGGATCCTCGGCGGAAGGATCGGATGCCGGCGTGGCCACCTTGCGGGGCTGTGCCTCCTCCGACTCAGCCACCTTCAGAGCTGCATACTTGAGAGGTGCGGTTCGGTGGATGAAGTCCGGAACACTGGAACGAAGGGTTCAGTGGAAGAGGTGATCCGGTGGATGAAGTTTTCGAGTCGTCGAGTCAAGTCTGACGTCGCAGGCTTTGACATTCCCACGGATTGGCTCTCAGCGGGTGCTGCTGCCATGATGGCCACGCTGAATGACGAGCACATGGTGCAGCTGCCATTTGCAGCTTTGGCTACTGTGCCCTCCTTGGCATGGGGTTGTAAGCGGCCGGCAGTGGAGAGAGGGGACTGGCTACCTGAGAATTTTGTACGAGGAATCCAGCCGCTTGTTGACATTGCGCTTATTTGTCCTGTTGCTGGGAGGCGGGTGATTGACTTTCTTAAATGATATTCGCGCATTCTTTCACTCTGTCCTAGTCCACGGACTCACATTGCAATCCAAACGCACTGGCAAGCGACAAGTCTGCAGATACCACTGATGAAAGCTCTGGAGCAGCACGACAGCTAGCACAACTTCTTCTAGGTCATGTGGCCAAGGTTGTTCAGCTTAAAGGGCTTTGCATTTCTTGCAAGTGGAATATTTTAGGCCTGGATCCTGCTGGACGATCTTTGGCTGGCTTTGATCTTAATATAAATGATAGATGATAGTGTTTGCCCTGTTGAATTTATGTCCGTTGACTGGATCTGTTTGTGCAAGGATCGGTCGACATGGACCCCAGCAGAAGCGGAAATCCTGCTGTTTTGGATGCTTTGATGCTCTTGTCAATGCCTCAATTTTGGATTCTGGAGCATTTTTGTCATTTGTTTTTGCCATTGACAGGTCTTAGATGCAGTGTTACTCTCGCGTCTCATGAGGAAAAGGCATCCCACTCCCTGAAATCATCCAAAGCATGCTGAAACGTGGAGTGCACCTCCACCTGGTCTGCGGTCTGCCCGGGTTGGCACTCACATCCTCCGATTCTCTTCTGGCCATGCCATTTCATCCCATCCATGGGGCCTGGCCCCCTCCGATTCTTCGGGTGGCCCCAACTAACCGCCTTTGCCGACCCGGAAGCCACGCGACGTCCCCAGGCTCGAGAACCCACCGAGCCTGCCGGCCTCCATGGACAGCGGTGGTCCCAGGACCTGGGCTCAGAGCGACGCCGGCGCCGCGTGCGGTGGCTACGACCCGTGCCCGACCGGTGTCGGTGCCGGCTGCGTCTCGCGACCGAGCGAGGCCTTCAAGCAGCAAGGCTTTGCAGCCGCAGAGTGCAACGCCAGAGATTCAGCAGGCCTGAGAATTCTGTTTGGCGTTTGGGAACAATCGGTCATCAACGTCTGGCAGGCCATCCAGAACCACACAGCCTATGAAGCTTCCCTGTCTATCGTCCTGAGCCTTTTTGTGCCTTGGCAGTGAGACCTTCTCAAAGAAGCGCACGGTGTGCGAACTCTATTCCCTAAGGTTTCGTTCATGCAGATGGCCGGATAGACATTGCAAACAATTAGCATCAGAACATTCGTGCACGAGATTAAACACACATCAATAGCCGAATAGCCCCACACATGCATGCAATGCACAGGATTTGCAACCATCCATCAATATGGTGCAATGGATACATTCTTTCGGATCATGAATCACGACCATGATCTCAGCCTCAGCCGTTTCATTTTGTGTGAGACGGAGAGTCAAGCACCAAAATGTGGGAGGCCATACCAGCCTTGCGAGATGTTGTTCTTCGTTATGTGTGCCATGCATGGGCATCACGATACAAGGCCGGGCATAGGGTAGTGATGAGCCTTGGAGTTCTTGGATGTTTCTACGGTTTGCTTGAAGGTACTGAAAAACCTCCTAGCTGTACCGTGGCAGGGTGGCCTGTTCGTCTGCAATTCATCCCGTGATATTCCACGCTTTCTACAATGGCAAGAACTTGTTACTAGTAGTAAGAATGCTCCTAGTAGCGATGCCAGGAGCCCCTAGTAGCATCCTTGCTCCTAGTAGTAAGGCCATGAGCCACTAGTAGCTTCTTGTTCTACAACTAAGTCTAAGTCTAAGTGTGTCTTGAGGTCATCGCTGTCCACGATGCTTCGGCGGATCTTGCTCTCAGAGGCAGCCCTCATTCTGCAGGTGCGGAGCAACGGCCACCCCAAACGACGACGACCGTTCTCGCACGCGGCGGGTGTCGCGAGCTGATTTCTCAGGTCTGTTCCTGGGAGATGCGATTGGTGTGGCCTGCTGGACGACCTCCAAACAAACAGCTGGAGAGAGCAGATCTTGTTGGACAACAGCCCCTTGGCCCGATGACGTCATGTCGTTTCCGCCAATGCCCGCCTCAGATCCTTTGATCTCGTTCATGTGTGGCAAGTGGGTTCAACGGGTCGCGTCACTTGCTTTGTGGCTCGAATTGTTGTCCACATTGAACCAGTCGTTCGAAGGCTTCTGGACTTGAAGATGAACGTCTCAGAGCATTTGCAGGCGCCACTCTTTTTCATGTCTCAAGAGGGAGTCACCGAGACCAGGAGTTCTTTTTCTCCCAAAACTCCTTTCAGCGTAGCGTCCGATCGCTCCGTTCGTAGTACAGCCAGGAGCCCCGTTCGTAGCGTCCGATCGCTCCGTTCGTAGCGTCCTTGTTCCGTTCGTAGTACGGCCAGGAGCCCCGTTCGTAGCGTCCGATCGCTCCGTTCGTAGCGATGCCCTTTGCTCCTACCTAGTAGCTTCTTGTTCCCAAAACCGTTGTTTTTTCCATCTCGGAGCTTGCTTTAGGAGGTGGTCTCAGACTTGGTCTCTTCCCAAGACGCAGGCTGGTCGGCGTCCGATCCTGAGGCCAAAGCGCGGCTTTTTTTCCAAACCACATGGACCCCACCTCAAACCTATCTTGGCTTTTTTTTTTCGCTGTTTTTTCCAGGATTTATTTTTTCTTGGCGCCTGCGATGCCACGCATGACCATCGGTGCGACTAGACCGGTCCAATGTGTGACCCTCAAGGCACACAGCCACGCCTTACTTGGTTGGCACAGCTCTGCGGCTGGCAGATGCTTGTGATGTGATCGATGCGGTGGTCGGTTCTGCAGCTCTGCAGGCGAGCTGAGTGTGTGGATCGAAATAACCATGGGTTTTCACGTGTTTCAAGTGTTTGTACCTTGGTTTTGGCAGGGATCACTTCTATTTGGTCGGGATTCAATGCAGGAGATCCCGTGTTTTTTCATGTCGTTTTGTGAGATCTGGAGAGCCTTCCAAGCCTTCCACGTGGCAGGAACATCTGAGAGCTTCCACATGTCAGTGTATGGCGCCGGACAAAGATGGTGGTGGCCTCACGCGGAGCTTGGAGCTACAGGACCGAAGCAGCCTTTGGACGGGACGAAGCATGTCGTTTTGCACAACAAGAAGACGACAGAAGCACCACAGCAAGCACATCCCGAGCAAGCATCTACATTCATTTCTTATAGAAGTCATTTCTTCAGGATAGCTGCACTCGAGAGTGCCTCTACCTCTGAGACTTGCGAGACGTTTCCCTGCACCTTTCCTTTTCAGTCTTCCACGCATCCGTCCCTCCGCGTCCGTCGTCTTAACCGCGTCTTCCCTGCTCGCCCCGCGGAACCTGCCTTCCACGTCCGACCGCGCTGTGCCAGGATCCCTTTGTCTTGCTGCACTTGTCGGGTTTGAGCTTCCAACTCTCCGCCACCGAATCCGAAGGCGCCGCCGGTCGGAGCCGATTTCAGCGCTACGCGGGTGACGCGGGGCCTGGCGCGGGGCCTGGCGCGGGTTACTACGGGTTGCACGGGTGACGCGCGGGGCCTTGTGAGGTGATCGCTCCAGATTCACAGAGGATTTGCAGCAGCTGGGATCCAGAAATGAATATGTTGGAACCTGAGGTCTAGTGACACTAGTGGTTTGGGTGAGTTTCCTCTGTTGTTTTCGATCACTTGTCTCCAAGCTGATTTTGAGGCTTGTATTGCCTTCTACACAGAGCAAGCTTGCCAGTGAGCTCAGCCCCTCTCCGCTTTTTGGAGACAGCTCGGCTCCAGTGCCTCCGTCGACCGAGGCAAATCTTTGGCGACCTTCGCCTCAGCAGCGCTTTGCCATTTGGTGCCATCGTGCTGTTTGCACGATCTTCCATGCAGTTGAGTGTGTTGGAAGAGTCAGAGAGATTCCTGTTTTTTCCCACTTTGGGTAGACAGGTCTGTTTTCCGCAAACCCAGGTGGTCGGAACACCTGGGAGGTCTTCCTATTTTAAGACACGATACACCCAGCAGAGCCTTTTCCGAACGATGGGCCACGCCAGCCACCGTCCTGACAGGTTGGGCGGCCACCAGCGATGGGGAACGCTTCCTCTGCAAGCGACTGCCGGGCACAGGCCAGATGCTTTCGGTGTTCACATGTGGATCTAAGCTTCAAAACATCCCAGGCTGCTCGAGCGCACTTGGAAGCACTGCTTCCTGCAATCGCAGCAGAAGAATCTGGAGCAGAAGCGCCGCGAAGACTAGAGCTTCTGTCAGGCTCAGACCCAGTATCTTAACTACCTGGTTAGTGAATGTAACTACCCTGTATCTTATTTGGGACCGATTTGCGGCGCCCCTTTCTTCCGTTTATTCACTCACTCTTCCATGTGGACCCCGGAGAGCGAGCTCGCTCGAGTCGGGAACACGCCGGTCAGCTCGGCTTTCGTTGGGTCACCCCAAAACACTAAGTTACTAAGTCACTAAGCGCATCTAAGCACCTTTTGGGTGGAACACACCGATGTCGGTGGAACACTTGTAGCTTTTGCTGCCCGACACGAGTCCAATTTTCATCGAGCGTGTATGACGAATCATGGGTGAGGCCTGGCAACAGCTTTTTTGGCCGCCATGTTGGAGCGATCAGAGGCACACAAAGGAGTCGACTTTCATTCTCCAAGCTTTTTTCTCCAAGTCAGGACAAAGACACCCATGTTTAACAGATGTAAACTTTGCATCGACGTGGGGTCGATGTCTCGACCGACACCACTCGTGGTGCCAGGCTCCGCCATTGGCTTTCGTACGACGGGTCTACGGGTTGCTCAGTGGAGCTCTGATGCGGCCGGCCGTCTCCCGCGAGTCACGCAGGAATTTGGAGGAGGCCCGGCCCAGGCGAGAGGAGGCAGTGTTGCTCAGTCTGATGCATTATTTATTTCCTCAGGCGACGCTACTTCTTTTGCAGCGCATGTTGCCTGATCCAGTCGACAGCCAAGCTGCTTGTTGCTGCCAAACAGCCTTGCTCATGCTTTTGAACCTAGCTGATGTGGCCAGAGGCAATGGAAGCTGCACAAGGTTTGCAACCAGCAGAGCTGGAGCTGCAGGCAAGCCAAAGCTTTGGACATCCACTTTGAGATGTTGTTTTAACATGTTTTAACCGAGTGCACAGTTGATGAGGGACCCCAGTAGTGCGTCAAGACAAATTTTTTTGCTCGTTGCACACCACGCAGGACCTGGAAGACCTTGCAAAGTTGTTGACCTCATTGATGGCTGCTGCTGTCGCTGAGGCGGGCAAGGACAACAGGAGAAGAGGGTGGCGCGCAAACACGCCCGCATGATGTAGGGAATCCATGGCAATCTTTTTGGAAGAGACGAGCGATCGCACTCGAACCCTTTGAGACTGAGGCGTGTACTCTAAGGATGCGAGGCATTTCCGATGCAAGAAATCAGTGAATCAACCCATGCAACATGAGTATTGGTCGGTCATAGGCGAGTTTCACTTGCCGACGATCCTTGTTTCCTTGTTTCCTTGTTTCCCCACCCTGTAGTGCAACCAGTGACTTCTCACTGTGCTGCTCATCTCCCAAGCTAAATGTTATTTGACACCATTTAATTCCCTTGTCTTTCTCTCACATGATTGTTGCATTCCTGTCGGAGAGGCTTCACTCACTCAGAAGCTCCCCCGATCTCCAGAAGCTGACCACAACCGAGCAAAAGCAATGCATTCATTTACTTCCAGAACCGACCAAAACCCGAATATAGCCCGGCAAAAAAGCACGTTTGCACGTTATTTTTTGCCCGTAATGGCAACAATTTAAGCAAACCAAAGAGCCACTAGGTGTCATGTTGGGTTCCTTAAGAGACACGGGTCTGTATTGAACTAGGGAGACCTCCCAGGCAACGACCCTTGAAGAAGGGACATAGACCAGTCTACCCGTTGGTTGGGGGAGACCCCTATTGAAATACACGCCCACATCCCTTTCATTTGAGATCAACCAGACTTCCTCCCAGCCTTAGTTTGGCTGTAAATTCCAGGTGGAGACCGTGGAGGAAAGCGCCCAGGGAGTTGCTCTGCCACTCATGTGTGCGCTCATGACCCGAGTTCCAGCCACCCAACGTTCAAGAGTTTTTTCGGGTCGGCTTTGGCAGCAACTCACTGAGATTATTGGAGCACAAAGAGAGTCACATGCAAGATTTCAAAGTGCAGCACTTGCCACCATTCTTTGTCAAGCACCTGAATCAGCCAGTGCTTTCTTTGAAGCTGCAGGGTTTTCCGCACTACTGCGTCCGGAGATGCTGCAAAACTGTCGCTTGCGACTTGCCCCAGCAGGGTTACATACCTTGGACACCACGCATCCAGCAGCTTTGGTGTCTATCATGCAAGTCCTTGTTTCCATGTTGGGCGTCCTACCAACTCATGCTTTGATTCTTCAAAGCACTCTGCAATGGCTTGAAAAGAACCTACAGCCTTTGCTGGATGTTTTACAATGGGTGACTCGTTTACCTGTGACACTGTCTGCAGAACCCCGACGTGGACATGTTTCAGCGTTGTCCTTGGTGTCTGCTTTGGCGGCACGGAGTGGTGGGAGTGTGGGTCGCTCTGGACCTGATGCCATGTTGGTTTTTTGCAGATCAGCAGAGGACGGTCAGTCAGTTGAGGATTCATGCGTCGATGGGCTGGCCCACTCCCTGAGTGGTCGTCATCCGATGGAAAAAGCATCTGCAGACGGTCAGTACGAAGAAGTTGCACTGTGCTATAGGTGTGTCTCCCTTTTCACCGAGCTGTGGTCATTGCTGCACGCGTCCATTGCTGCGAGGGTGAAGAGCACAATTGGCCAAGCCACTCCAGATGCTTACTACACCAGGCTTCAGCAGCTGGAAGGCATGGTTCATCCAGCTCTGCCAGGGCTGACCACTCAAATGGTCAGTGCATGCGTCACACACCAAGATGACATGTCTGACTCCACCACGACTCTGCCAGAACGGATGCACCCCTCTGAGCCGACAAGGCTGAAGATTTGCTCCAATGTTCTCCAAGTGTGGAGACACGATGGTCTCACGCGACGGATCAAAGCCCTGGCATACAAAGGGCCACAGGGCATTCAAGGGATGCAAGGCCTCCAAGCACCAGGCAGTTCTCCTCCCATCTCTAGCTTTGATGTGAGTAGATTACCTGGTGTGTCGCAAGAGGTGGTTGCAGAGACGAGAGTTCGAGCTGGAGTCTTGTGTGCTGTCTTTGTTTTTGCTGCTTCAAGCTTGCTAAGTTTGAGGTTCACAGATGGTGATGCAAGTGCAAAGGAGAGTGTAGGGAGAATGAGCGAAACTTATCAGGGCCACCAGTTACACTTCGATGGAACTGAAAAGAGATTTCGCCACTTGCTCTTTATCCTGGAAACTTCGCTTCACTTGCTTTGTCTTCACTTCACGCTGCTGACGACTGCGGCCGAATTGGAAGGCACTGGCAGCAAACATCAGGGACCATCCTTGTCCGCTGGCATACCTCGACTCGCGATGGTGGGCCAATATTTACGCTTGGTCATTGAGTTTGCTTCAGCATCAGGAGGCTCAGTGGCTTTGTCACACGAGGCGCCGCTTCCTGGAGGCGCCGCACGGCCCGGGCCCCGCGGTCTGGAGACAGTCGTTGCGACATCCAACCTTTTCTTTGCAGCCAATGTAGCCTCGACAGCCCTCGCCTTAGACATGCAGCGACACGCTTTGGGATGATTTGAATTCGGTATCAGCTTGGACAACACATCCAGCAAAGTTGCCCCCAAAACTAACATGATGAGATACATATGATTTGTAGTTCATACAAGTACAGTATATATAATATATACAGTATGAAACCGTTAATGACCATTTTGATCTCGGCTGGTCGGGTTTGGCCCCGTCTTTTTGAGGCCGAAAAGCTGGTTGCCCAGTTGCAGCTGCAGCAAGGTGGATTATAAAAGGCGACGTGTGTGTTCCGCGCGGCCGGCCTGTTCCACGAAAGCGCGGCCTTTTCCAAAAACAGAGTCACCGTGTCACCTGCGAGTCCAACGAGTTCTTTTGGGAGATGGTTTCGCTCTTGCACCTGCCATTGGCTCCAGCTTAAAGTGAAAATCATGCAGAGAATGCACACGCATGTTGAAGTGTCAAGAACCATGCCAAGACCGGGCCATGACTTTTTTCTTTGTTCACGCTGTTTTTTCATGCCCGAAAAAAACATTTGAACAGAAAGATGACCCAACAACGCCCACATGTTGTTTAGTTCTGACAACCTCCAGTCTACCGCATATGTATGCATCCAGCATAGATTGACACCCTCAAAGGATGACTGCCAAAGCCAGACAGCGACAGCGATTGCAAGTTCACACCACTCGTCAGCCTGGTTAAAGGGTCAATGGCTTTAGCTTTGGCGCCTCAATTCCAGCAGTAAGGCAGATTCGTTTGGTCCCGCAAGTTGACTGTGTTGATCACTCTGAAGCTCTTCCCCAACGAATCTGACCAGGCTGAGGCCGAGTTGATGGCAGTGGAAGCCACGGTTAGGCCTAGCTTGGCTTGAGAGAGTTTCTCATGTTCATGACAGATGTCACTTCTTTTCCTCCCGCTCCAACTTTTTTTTAGATCTCTCTCTCTCTCTCTCTTTGTTGGTCCCGCTCGCGTCCCTTTGTAGGTTCTCCTTCACGAAAGTATGATTGCGAGATGGAAGACCGTTCATCCAAAATGCATTTCTACCGAACGTGAAATATGCAGACATCAAAATGAAGGCAGACCAAAAAGAAGAGAACTTGCACACACACACACACACACTTGTAAAACTGGAAGAGGAATGGCACCAAGCGCAGGCCGTCTCCCACCCATCCAGGGGGGACTTTTAGTCGGACCCTCTTCTCGAGGCCGATGGTGCAGGGATCGTTGCAGCCGAGTTCCGAGGCGGAGCCCTTTTTTTTCGAGGCGTTTTCAGCGGCCCACCATGCGGGGCTTGGCTTGGCTGAGCCCACGGTAGCCCTTGGTGTGCGGCCTCGCTGACTTCTCCGCTTCGCTTCTGCGTCGGCTGAACACGGCTGAGCACGGGTGCGGCGGGGTTCAGGTGCAACAAGGCGGAGGTGCAGGGGCTTCAGGCGCAGCTGATCAAGGTGCCATCCTTGTGGTTATGAATGTGTCAAGTGGATGGTAGCCGTCTTCGCGTGGCAGTTTTCCGACAAACGCCCAACACTTCGTCAACCGACCGTGCTTTGGTCGCCTGTTTCAATATGGAACCCTGATTCAACATGAAACCTTTGAACTGTGACTTCGAGCGTTTGGAACTTTTCCAGGTCACTTTCCGGCGCAGAAGGTTGCACTTTATGAGCTGCTGCTGCGCCAGCTGCAGGTCGGTCGGGACATGTAGAACCAATCGGTTTGGAGACCAGACAGGCCTTTCATTTCGCCTTTCGTCCCCACCTTTCAAGCGTCACTCGTGCGTGGTGAGGACGATGGCTTTGAGGCCGAGGTCCAGGCTCTCACTTCCCAGCTCCATCTTCATGCTAACAATCAAGTTGAGAAGGCACCACCTGGGACTCGGGGGGACGAACCGGGTGACCATCGCTTTCGATCGAATTCTGGCTCCAATCGTTGCTCGCACTGACTCATTGACAGTGCATTTTTCGTTCCACTTGCTGTCTCAGGATGCGCTCTTGGATATCTACACGAAAAGCTGGACCCTCTGTGGTTGGGCCAAGAACAATGGACATGTGTCGACTTGGTGCTTTGAGGCTTGAAATGGGCTTTTGGTGACCAACCACAGGGGGAGTGGCAACCGCTCCACTGCACTCCGGTGCGCAGTCAGGACGCTGCGTCCTTCGTCGAACGGCGCTCCGTTTTGATTGATTCGAGGTGCCCCCTCTTGGGCCACAAGAGAAGGTTCTCGACCTTGAGGGAATGCCGATTCCAACAGGTGGGAGGTTCTTACAAAAAGGATTCATCAATGATGTAAGCATTGTAAGCATGCTCCATTCCGATCCACTTTCAGCACTGCACACAGAGGTACTTCTCAGACTCCAGATCCTAGCAAGAAACCTCCGGAAGTCAGGCAAACTCAAACAATTGCTTTTCTTTTTCAAGAGCAGCTTTTGACAACCCGTGCCTTTTGCACATCGTTTTCTCAGGTTGCTGTACACAGCTTCACACAAGTCACACTGTCGTTCTGTGGCCTTTTCGACCGATGGGCGATTCTGCCCCTTGGCTTTCAGACCGAGCCTGCTCGCGTCGGCGCGACGCGCGCGATTTGGACGAAGGTCCAGCACCTTTTGTTGGGAACTGCTTTTTTTGCTTCGCAGCGAATCTTCGTGAAAACCCCGTCGTCGTCTGATATCGGTCAATTCGTCCTGCTGCGATCGTCCTGCTGCGATCGCACCTGTTTCCAGGTGCTACAGGCTGCACAGATGGTAGCATCAAACTTCTGGACACCGTTCCCACCTCAGCATGGCTTGTTAGCTCGATGACTTGTTAGCGCTCCGCAATCAAAAAGCAAAAAGATCTCTCAAGATCACCCTGGAACCCCAAAGAACCCGAAGCAACAATGACAATGCTTGTTCCAATATGGCTTGCTTGAGATGCTTTACATAGGACATGGCACTTATATAGCTGCATTGTTTTTTTCCTTCGACCCGGGCTTGCCCACATGCTGAGGCGAAAATGCGAGTCTGCGCGGCGAGCACTGAGGGACCAGTCGGTCGCATGCGTGTGACTGAAGAGGACAGGCGGTTTTGTTTTTAATTCTTCATTCAGACGCGAATAATGATGTGAAATGATGTGAATTAATGATTTTGTAACACAATTAAACCATTTCTCTCCGGAGTTGAGTCTCACAGGAGCTCATGAAACCGATCGTCCGTGTTCTTCAGGACAGATTTCGTGGACCATTTCGAGAGTGGTTTTGTTTGCTTCCAGTACTTGGCTGCCAAAGATGAAATTCTTGGGGCCCAGGACCACATTCAAGGTGTTTCATGCTTAGCTTTCCACCCCACGAACCCCACACTCTTTTCCGGCTCCTCGGACAAGGCCGGGGGCGACACCGAGTGTCGGCACCGACGACCGGCCCGTTCACGGTCGGGACGTCGAGAAGGGCCGCGAGCGTTGAGGCAGTGAAGATCTTTGACCTGACCAGACCCCCTGGCCACAAAAAGGCGACCGGGTTTGGTGTTCGGCACATTGAGAAACGAAGAAGACCACCAGGGTTTGGTGATTAGCACAATGTGCATTGACTGCAAAGAAAAAAGAAAGCGTTCGCGACTCCGAGTGTTGGAAGCCAGATGTTCGTTCACTCAGACTACCACCTCCTGCATCGACGACAGGCTTTCTCAGTGCTGCAAGATGTTTACGCTGTCAACAGCATTTGTTCGAAGCTCAGAGTAACACTTGGACGACCAAGACCCGTGGTTCGGCGCTTGGGACGCTCCATATCCACGCGTTGGTTCCGCGTCAGGTATCCATCCCTGTGGTGACTTCCTTTTCGTCGGCACGGCGCACCAGGCTGTGGTACATCCCCTGTGTCGGTCGGGGTTTCGATCGGAGTTCGGTCGGCTTTTCTTTTGGACGTCGCTGACGGCGCCAAAAGCCAAAATTTGATGGGCAGGCCGTGCGGATGTATGACCTGCAGACCTTGAGCTGCTTCACGAGCTCCCACCAAGATCAGCACCATTCAGCAGGAGATTTCGATGTCGAGTTAGGAATCGGATGCATCGGAACCGATTCGCGTGTGATCCCGGTTGGGTCGGAACCGTTTGCCTGATCATCGGTGATTCGAAACACCGCCGATGTATATCTGTGCGATGCGGACGATATCCGAAGATGCATGTTTTCCAGGAATCAATAACCTGAGATGCACCAGTGACGGAAAGATTTTGGCTACAGCTTCTGCCGTTGGCGCACTCAGTTTACGCTCCAACGTGCAGGACGACTGACCCCCGGTGCGTTTGCCGAGCACGCGGGACGGACGGGTCTACGCCGGACGCGCTGAGGATGGGTCCATCAAACTCTGGGATGCGGTCAACAACAGCGTCGTGAACGCTTTGCCCCAGGCGTCCGGACAACGACGGCATTCGCCAGTTCCAAACGTAAAGAGATGCGCTTTTTTCCCCAACCAAGACAGAAGAAAGGACACGATTGGGGTACCTATAAACAGTACATTATTGATTATTTAAAATGACAAATATATAGGGAGAGGGTTCTTCAACCTCTGTTGGAAAGTATCCATTGGACACTTCTGTCGTGAGCAACAGCTCCGCCACGTTTTTCTTTTAGGCCCACAGTGGTTCTTCGGTGACGTCAGTTCGATGGAGTCTGTGTCTCAGGATGAGCTCGAATGATTTCGAATGAGCAACGCTGGGCCACATGAGCCAATGTCCAGGGGCTTCATGCTTGTTTGGTTCAGGTTATAAGCGCGAAAACAATCCCATAATGAGATCACAAGATATATTCCCGATGTATGTTAGAATACCCTCCAACCACGGGGTTTGGCCTGATTTTCCCGGGGTCTTTAGGTGGCTCCCGAACTCAAGACACACCCAGATCAAGGCTTCAATAGTTTGAGCTCAGTGGGAAAATGACGTCAGAGACTGGGCAGGTTGGTGTGTCGCTCCGGCGTGCAACATCGTGCGGTTTGTTGGGGCCTCGAAAACCCAGGTCGCAGCCTCCGCTACTTGCTATCTTCTGGGAACGACGGCAGGTGGGGAGCAGCGGCTCTTCAAACACTGTCTTTGTGGGTCACGACAGCGAGGTCACAGTGGGTGGTTTATTGAGTGCATGTCATGCACTGTCGTCCCACCTTGCATGTCTTTGTTGGTCTGCAACCGATGACTGCAACAAGAAAAACCATGAAAAACCTCTTGGCCAGCACACGGTGCTGTGAGTTTATCTCAGCCCTGGCAAGTTGCCCACGAGGCATAGACTTTGGGATGTGCGCATGGGCAAAGAGGCAGGGTATCACTGCAAACACATTTCAGCTGGCCAGCCGCTAGCGGCTCCCCTCACCTCTTGTTTGCCAACTCCCTCCCCACTGCTTCCAATGTAGCTGTGGCATGCTTTTGCCAACCTGCCGGGCTACTTCTCCTTGGCCTTTTCAGCAGACGCTTCCGTCGGTCTTCTTTGGAAGAACGACCCCCCCCCCCGAAGGTCTTCTGCATGGGCTTCGGTCCGCGCTCCGCCGACTTCGGCACGGCCGCGTTCGTCAATGGAGAGAAGTGACCGAAGCGAGAGATGCTTCGCGAGAGTCGTCAGCGAGAGAATTCGGACTGCGCAGACCGATGCGAGAGTCAAACGGCGCAGACGGGTTTCGCGAGGTACATTGCAGCCGCCAACAGCAATGTGCGCTTGAGTGATGTGAGCCTTTTCGATTCAACCACAGGAGCAGGGGTCGTTCATGCCCAGTTTGCACATGCACATCAACATGTTCAGCATGCGGAAACGTTGACCATGCTTCCGGCACCAGGGACTATAGGAGATCGTTCAAGCAAGCACGTCCCTTTGCTTGTTGTTGCGCCTGCACTGCTCCTTTTCTGGTCCAGGATCACCCGTATTTATGAAAATGGGTATGCACTCGGTCCCGATCCATGCGCTTGAGACTTCGCCAGTTGACAGGAGATTGTGCGACTTGCGCTTGGTGAGGTTCTTTTCAAATCAAGATCGCATCAACTTCATGTCCCAGCTGCTTTAAGACACCTCGCAAGGGCTCATAGCCACCTCATAAGCACAGGTTAGATTCTATCCCAACAACATGCCATGGAAGACTTACACATTTCCCATGCTAATAGGACACTGATGACGGGCTGTGATGATGAGAAAGGCAGATACTTCAGCATTGAGGACAGCAGATGTGCTGACTTTTGATTTTTGTTGATTGCTACCGAAGATCTGAGATGGAACATCATGAGAATTAGCGCATCTATTTTAGGGCGACTTGATGATCGCCGTGTTGTGGCTCTATTTTTAGCTTAATCTGGTGAACGTCCTCTAATTGCGGAGTGAAAACCTCATACATGGCTATACAGTGCCTTTGGCAACTGGCAGTACTGGAAAAGGGAGAAAGCAATGTCCTCACGAAACTTCGTTTGGCAGGACAAGTCATGAGAGGAGCCGCTGAGAAAAGCCATGGTCGTAGAAAAAGCTTCAAGCCGCTTCTGAGGTGATTGAGGGGTCCATGGCACTGATTGAGGGGGTGTCCACAGCGTCCAATTTGCGATTCTTTACTTGGCATCAATTCGTTTTTCTCTCCGACATGGCTTTTCAGCTCAACATCACACCATTCAGCAAATGACGAGTGAAAAGAACCCCCCATTGATTCATGGAGTCTTTGCTGGAACGCTGGCTTCAACTTTTACAAGTTCAGTTGTTGCCCATCCAACATGAGCTGGATGCAAGATCTTACCTCCATTCCCCAAGGCAGATAGACAGAGAACGCGCATCCATTTTCTTTGCATCTCAGAACGCTAGCACAACTAAAAGTCGTTACATGGAGTAGCCACTTTAGTAGCAGAGTAGCAGTGCCAGTGCTAAAAAAGCAAACACACGCACCCGAGCACCTGAGCACCCGAGCACTGCACAACATAGAGTCTTTTTGGTGCGGGTTGGGCGAGAGTGCTTGCACCACCAAACTTTTTGTTCGCTGCACAAAGATTGCAGTCCCGCCCGGAAAAAGACCTGGTCCAAGAGGCACCACCTGCGGACTTGCCACTATGGCGACAGAAACGCAAGAGCTTCTGAAAGAACTGCAGGCGCAATTTGCCGCCCAGGGTCAGCAATTGGACAACGAGAGCTTGTTCAATTTGGTACGGCAGCTTCAGGATAGAGACCAGCATGACTGGTGTGAAGCAGCTGGCCAGTCAGAGCCTTTAACGACACGGCTGAAGAATCTCCTTAAGGACTATCCAGCTGATGTTGGGCTTTTTAAGGAAATGGTACAGAATGCAGATGATGCGGGCGCAACTCGTGTCCACTTTGTGTGGGATGCCCGCAAATTGGGAAGAGAGAGTCTTCTCTCCCCCGAAATGGCAGCTTGGCAGACCAATTGCTTGTGGGCCTACAACGACGCATTGTTTACAGAACAAGACTTTGAGGCCATTTGCAGACTTGGTGTTGGAGGAAAGAGGAGCAGCTCCGAGCGCATTGGACGCTTTGGTCTTGGCTTCAATTCAGTGTACAATCTCACTGATGTCCCCAGCATTCTTAGTGATTCGATGGTCTTGTTCCTGGACCCTCATGTGTCCCACCTTAGTAAGATGGGGGCCTCAACGCAAAAGCCTGGTATCAAGCTCCGTTTCTTGAAAGTGAATGTATTGGATCGCTTTCGCGATCAATTCGCGCCCTACCACAACTTGCTAGGTTGTGATCTTGACTCTCGTTTGCATTCACAGCTCTTTTGTGGACTGTGCAATCGGACTTGTTTCATTTTGTTGTCCCTTTGTGAACTATAACTATACTATGTAATTTGTGTATATATATATACACACACTGTATATAGTATATAAAAAAGAAGCTCAGTTTCTTGCGCGGAATTCACATTCTTCCTACCAGGAATCTTCGAGCCCCTTTAAGGGGACGCTGATTCGCATTCCCTTTCGGACCAAAGAGTCCGCTGCCAAAAGTGAGATCTCACAGATCATCGTGTCCGAGGAGATGGTGAAAGCATTGTCTCTGCAGTTCAAAGCCGAGGCTTTTCAGTGGCTTCTTTTTCTTCAGAACGTACAGGAGATTTCCATGTCTCGGCTGATGAGCGACACCGACTCAGCTGTCTCGGTGCGTTTAGAGACCGTCTTTTCAGTGTCTCTGGGCAGAGCATTGCTCACCAAAAGACCAAGCCTGGTGACGTGCGGAAGTTCTGGTCGTGGCACCACGGTCTCCATGCAATTGGAGGTTCTTTGTAGCGAGGACACGGCGGAGGACACGGCCACGAAGAAATATCATCTCTTCACTCAAACTCAGCATGGCTTTCGCTCGCGTGTATGTTTGGCAGTGCCACTGCGCGATGCAGAGGCCGGTGAGGCCTGGTCTCATGATGAAGTTGGACGAGTCTTTTGCTTTCTACCACTTCCACGCAACATAGATCTTGGACTGCGATTGCATGTGCATGCACCCTTGAATATGGCCCAGGATCGGCGAAGCGTGTTGCTGGACGAGCGGATTGGAGAGTCGGAACAGGAGTTGGTGCGGCACAATTTCAAACTCCTGGATGACTTGATCCCGCCCTTTGGCTCAGTTGCGGGTGTTTACCTGAGGGGACTGGAGTGAAGATCGAAGATGGGTTTGGAAGAAACGAACGAAGAACAAAAACCTAGCGGGACTTCGGAGAGCTTCGGTTTTCACATGTTCCTTCTGACTCGAAACTGTTCCTTCCGCACTTGGGGAGATTCATGCGGTTTGTCACATCCCGGTCCGAGTTCGAGCCGGGAACCACGCATCGCTTTGCATCGGTGGATGCACCTAAGGTCTGCACTGATGGCCTGCTTGCAGGATTTGGCCCTGAAGCGAAATCAGATGCCTCCCTCGCACTTCTTTTGGCTGTTCCCCGTGTTGCACAGCAGAACAAGAAGTCAGGGGAACCCAGCAGACCGAATTGCACAGACCTTCTATGCCAGGCTTCTGGCAAGTGGAGCAGCGTCATGCCCACTGCCGGTGGCTGCACCTGCAAGCAATCGGAAGCAGCAGACTCGTATGGATGCACCGCCAGCCTACTGGGTCAAGGTCTCTGACTGCATTTTTGTGCCGTCGGGCAAGGAAGCTGAGCACGTTGCGCCAGCATTACTTGACTCTGTGGTTGAATGTTTGCTGCGCTGCGGAATCCAGTTGGTAGATGCACCAGTCAAAGTGCTTGAGTCACTAATACATTCCCAGGCCGGTCCAGGAACGAATGGAGCTTTGACCATTCTGACCCCCGCCTGGCTTCGACAACGCTTGCGCTCGGAGGGTAGCATGCAGTCTCACGCCCTCAACCGAACACCTGCGGTGGATCTTTTTGGTCAACTCACACCAACTGATGTGGCGGACCTCTTGGAATTTGCCGTGAGTGATGGTGAGATGGCCGACCTCCGCGGAGTTCCTCTTCTCATGTGTGAGGATGAGACGATGGTACATCCCTTTGCCGAGTCGGGCAGCACGGTGTTTTTTCCACAAACGCCCCTTGAGCGGCGGCTCTTCCCCAGCAAGGACGGCCGAAAGCTGGTCTTGGCCACCAAGTTTGAAGCGCGCCCGTTACTTTGGGCCAAATTCAAGCAACTGGCGCACGCAGGGCAAACAGTGGCCGGCTTGCCTGGCGAAGCCCGAAGTTCGGACACCAAGGAGACCAGGCAAGAGCGTCAAGCGGAAACAGCAAAGGCGAGCCTTGGCAAAAAGGCTTTCCAATGTCAGTTCGTGACATTTCCCTTGCTCGTCAAGGCGCTGCAAATGCTCCTTCCGAAGACGTGGAACAATCCTGTCCCCCGCATCCCCCTGCGTGACTACACAGAATGGGTGGAAGACTGGTTGCAGGCCATGTGGAAATGGCTGGATGAAAAGGAGGTGGATCTCTTCCAGATGGTTCATTGGCCTTTGATTCCCAGTGTAGGTGAGAATGTTGATCTGGTACGTATCCCGGAGCCTCACAAGTTGGTGTTGGTCTCAGCTGTGTCCCGCCCTCCAGTTTCCCAAGCCCAAGGGGGATATCCACATCCGCCACCCCCTCCTCCGCCTCCAAGAGGGCAGGCGAGTGCAGCAACACCCAGCCAACCCACAAGTGACACAAGAGCGAAAGCAGAGGCAAGTGTTTGTGAGCCGACGGAGCCTTTGCCTCTCCGAGGAGCTGATGATGATTCAGAACCTGCTAAGCTCGCACTGGTCCAGGAGCTTCTCCAAACCCGCCTTCACTGCAGACCAATCTATGAACCCACCTGGCTCTCACAACATCATGCCAAGCAGCTGCGAACCTGTGTTCATGCATCGTCTCCTGAAGGACTTCTTCGGAGCATGCATTTTGCTTCCAGGATCCTTTGTGCATGTCAGCCCAAACCCATGACCCCATCACAGGCACTGCACATGTCTCTCATTGCTCGTGAGCTGAGTCCAAAGGCTGTGAGTGCCTTGCTGTTTGTCGCGACTCGAGTTCAAAAAGAGGGCTGCAGCTGTGAGGTCGATGGATCGAACGGAAGCTGGAAATGCAAATGTGAGGTGCTTCGAGGCTTGCCCATTCTATGCAGATTCAATCAATCAAATCAGCATGTCTCCTTGTCAGGAACAGGGGAAAGTCAGGACTTCTGGGTTTTGCCAGAGACGTGCCCACAAGTGCTAGCAGCACTTCGCGCTGCGCAGGTTGATTTGCGAACCTGCACAGAGATTCCAGACAAGGTGCTTGCAACATTGAGTGCTTCTGAAAACTTGGCAGTTTCCTCTCTTTTGCGAGAACTTTCTCTTCCCCGATTGAAGTGGTCGGAACTGCTTTTGAAGCATGTTTTTCCCTGGGCAGCCAACAAGTCCAAGGACCCATCGGTACGTCAAGCTTTGATGCGTGCGGTTGTTTACCATTGGCGCGATATGGAATTAACTGGCCAAAGTTCTTGTACAGAGGCCTTACAACACATTCCATTCATCAGCACTCTTGGCGGTAGCATGTTGTCGGCTGCAGAAGCCTTGGACCCTGCGGTTGAGAAGTTACTCGCACTCTACGGTCCTGGTGACATCAAAGGTCCCTTCCCGGAAGCAAGATGGCAATCTGCCGAATGCCGAGCTGTTTTGCAGTATCGAAGTGACCTGAGCTACCAAGAGTTAAGTGAAAGACTTGGTTTCTTGCATCACCTGGAAGTGGAGCGCCGGGAAGATTCCTCCGCGTGCGCACACGGAGCAGGAAGGAGCACATCTGCACCTGAGGACGGTCCCGTCCCAAAGGCGGTGGTGACTGTCGCGCATGCTTTGCTTCGCTATGTGTGCGAAACCGTCAGCCCTGCCATGGCTGAAAAGGATCAAGACGGTCAGCCGCCAGCAGACAGGGATGGTCTTTGGGGCATGTTCAGTGGAATCCTCGGGGAAGTACGACCCAAAGAGCTGGCCAAAGGGGCACGTTTCTCTGAGGATGAGCTGATGTCGATTCATTCCAAGCTTCGGCGATGCTTTTGGCTGCCACCTCTGGCGGCACCAAGTGGCTGGCCAGCCGATGCTCCTTGGAAAGGCTCATTGTGTGGACTTTGTTCAGCAGAGGAGGCGCAGACACCTTTGTCATGAGTTTCATTGAGATTCTGATGTTGCTTTCATGTACTCAGACTCACATAGGGATAGGCCAAAACCTGGAGCCCCAACACTGTAGCAAAAGACCTTCGCGGTATGTCAATGGTGTTCGACCGTGTGGTCTCATTGAACTTGATGGATTGTGTCTCCACATCGACGGAGCGGAGTTCCGTTCTAGGTGCGATTGATGTCAGAGGAGTTCTTAGTCGGCATGGCCAGAAACCCAGAACACTCTCCCTGTGTTCGTGCGACGAAAGAGACCTGACTCCGAACGTCTCGGTGGTGTCCCGAGTCTGGGCATTTCCCTGATTTCGGTGCCTTCAGCAGCTCACCGAGGTAAGGCCTTTGGTGGGCTTAACATCTGGCACAGGCGAGGAAGGGAACAAGAGGAAAGGCACAGGGGAGACCAAGGAATATGGTTCATCTCCTCATGAGGCACCCCACAATTGATGGCTTGATTTTGAGACATGCGAAGGGGACCCAGGACTCTTTCATGAGTTGCCAGGAAGCGCTATGAGGCTTCCAAGACGACTTCTGGACTGATGCCCAGTTGTGAGTGACGCAGATAGAGGAGAAACTCAAGACTGTGCCATCTTTTTCATCTTCCCGTCGCGCAGGAGAGCCTTGGCCTTGAAGAAAAGCCTCCTGAAGGCCTCATGAAGGAACAGCTTCGCAAGATGGAGGACTGGTAGTAACAAGAAGCTACTAGTAACAAGTGCCACGCTACTAGTAACAAGTGCCTTACTAGTAGTA